CTTTACAATTTTACAAGATAATTATAATTATCAATGCCTTACAGATCTGTTATTCTAATTATCAATGCTTTATAGATTTGTAATGCTAATAATCAATGCTTTATTATAAAAGATTTGTAATTCCAATTATCAATGCTTTTTAGATATGTAAATCTAACAACAATGCTTATAAATTTCCAATTCTAATAATTAATGCTACTAGATCAATTATTCTAATTATCTTTATTTTAGAAAATCATAATTCCGATCATGAATGCTTTCATAGACTTATATCATCAACAATTATCATTCTGTATTCTATAGATTTGAGCTGTGTCACGACATAACCAACATAGTGCGTTTGCCACCAGCATGGATCCAGACAAGCCTGCGCATCCGCGCAGTCTGATCAGGATCCATGCTGTTCGCTTACCAACTCTTTTACAAGTAGAGAAACTGATAGCAAACAGCATGGATCCTGATCAGACTGCGCGGATGCGCAGGCTGGTCTGGATCCATGCTGGTCGCAAACCCATTATGTTGGTTTTGTCATGAAGCGGCTCATTTATATTTTACTATCCCCAAGATCAATATCTCCACAATCACAAAGCATGGTGTTTCCAATATGTTCAGCTCTAGTTCCGACAGAACTCTGTTGGTTTTTATACAAATGTCAACAAAAAGAGTCAATTTTTTGCTGTGTCTACATCAGATGATTGGAGTTGTTTCTCATGCTGGAATTCTTTTCTAAATGCTGCAATCACAGCCTTATTTTTGGCTCTTGAAGGGTATACACTTCTGTGGAATAATCCTGAAAAAAAAACAAAAAAACAATAAAAAACAAAAATATATATATATCAAAGATAACCTGGTTATTTGAAAATACCAATAAATCAATGGAGCCATAATTTTAAGTGCCACAAAAAATGTAAAGACAAAAAAAATATCTTTAGCACTGTGATGCTGTAAAATAAGCCATTTTTGGCACAGCTAAAATTTTGCCATTTCAGACTAATTTTGACTAATTAGCATACCTGGTAGTTAAATATCTGTGATGGCTTTGAGAAAATAAGGTAAAACAGTCAAAAAGAAAAAAAAAATTAAACAAAATGACTTTCAGTGTTATCTGCATTTTATTACTGATGGTGAACAAGTAATTATTAAAAGTGAAAAAAAATTGAAAACTTTTTAGTAATTTACAGTATCAAAATTCTAAGGCAAAAAGGAGCATAACTGAGCAAAAATGAATTGCATGTTTAACAATCAAATTTTGATAGTGTATAAGTTAAATGTGATTATATATTGTAAACAGTTTTTGAACAAGAGCTGTCCGTAAGACAGCGCGCTCGACTTTTTTATTGCTTGCCAATAAAAAAAGTTTTTGCAGTAAAAGGCAATACAAGAATCTCTGTATTTTTAAAGTGAACAATGGCCATGAGCATTAAGATATTTAGTGAAGAATTATTTTACTGAATTGTGTGATACCCTTGAACACTGCAGCAAAGTTTGAAATGTTTAAGTCAAAAGAGGGCTGGTAAGAAAGAAAAAAAAACTGAGTTGAGCCTTAAATAAATTTAATTCTAAGTCGATAAAAGGCCTTAATTTTTAAAACAAATCCTTGACAGAGTTACCTTCTCTTGCGTACAGATGGGGGTAATGATGTGAAATAGCATTAAAAGTTTCAAAGCAATATCTCAAAGGGTTAAGGCAATAAGTGGATTTTACCCATATTCAATGTATTTTCTAAGTCAAAAAGGGGCATAATTCTGTCAAAAACCTTGACAGAGTTATGTCCTCTTGTCTGTTGATGAAGGTCGTGATGGTAAACAAGTATGGTCAGTTTCAAAGCAATACCTCCAATGGTTTTGAAATAAAGTGAGGTGGTACAAAAAACTTAACCAAGCTCAATACACTTTCTAAGTCAAACAAGAGCTGTCCGTAAGACAGCGCGCTCGACTTTTTTATTGCTTGCCAATAAAAAAAGTTTTTGCAGTAAAAGGCAATACAAGAATCTCTGTATTTTTAAAGTGAACAATGGCCATGAGCATTAAGATATTTAGTGAAGAATTATTTTACTGAATTGTGTGATACCCTTGAACACTGCAGCAAAGTTTGAAATGTTTAAGTCAAAAGAGGGCTGGTAAGAAAGAAAAAAAAACTGAGTTGAGCCTTAAATAAATTTAATAGTATTAAACCCACTTTGAGAGAATAAGGTATTTTTACGTCACTCAGAACACCTTGGTAAATGACATAATAACATAATTTTTCAAGAAATCTATGCCAAGGAAGCAGTATATTTTTGTACAATCAGCATAATATATAGATTTGACTTTGTATGTGAAAAGGCCTTAATTTTTAAAACAAATCCTTGACAGAGTTACCTTCTCTTGCGTACAGATGGGGGTAATGATGTGAAATAGCATTAAAAGTTTCAAAGCAATATCTCAAAGGGTTAAGGCAATAAGTGGATTTTACCCATATTCAATGTATTTTCTAAGTCAAAAAGGGGCATAATTCTGTCAAAAACCTTGACAGAGTTATGTCCTCTTGTCTGTTGATGAAGGTCGTGATGGTAAACAAGTATGGTCAGTTTCAAAGCAATACCTCCAATGGTTTTGAAATAAAGTGAGGTGGTACAAAAAACTTAACCAAGCTCAATACACTTTCTAAGTCAAACAAGAGCTGTCCGTAAGACAGCGCGCTCGACTTTTTTATTGCTTGCCAATAAAAAAAGTTTTTGCAGTAAAAGGCAATACAAGAATCTCTGTATTTTTAAAGTGAACAATGGCCATGAGCATTAAGATATTTAGTGAAGAATTATTTTACTGAATTGTGTGATACCCTTGAACACTGCAGCAAAGTTTGAAATGTTTAAGTCAAAAGAGGGCTGGTAAGAAAGAAAAAAAAACTGAGTTGAGCCTTAAATAAATTTAATAGTATTAAACCCACTTTGAGAGAATAAGGTATTTTTACGTCACTCAGAACACCTTGGTAAATGACATAATAACATAATTTTTCAAGAAATCTATGCCAAGGAAGCAGTATATTTTTGTACAATCAGCATAATATATAGATTTGACTTTGTATGTGAAAGTATTATAAACAAATTAAACAAATCCTTGACAGAGTTACCTTCTCTTGCGTACAGATGGGGGTAATGATGTGAAATAGCATTAAAAGTTTCAAAGCAATATCTCAAAGGGTTAAGGCAATAAGTGGATTTTACCCATATTCAATGTATTTTCTAAGTCAAAAAGGGGCATAATTCTGTCAAAAACCTTGACAGAGTTATGTCCTCTTGTCTGTTGATGAAGGTCGTGATGGTAAACAAGTATGGTCAGTTTCAAAGCAATACCTCCAATGGTTTTGAAATAAAGTGAGGTGGTACAAAAAACTTAACCAAGCTCAATACACTTTCTAAGTCAAAAAAGGGCCATAATTCTGTCAAAAACCTTGACAGAGTTATGTACTCTTGTCTGTAGATGGAGGTTATGATGGTGAACAAGTATGGTAAGTTTCAAAGCCATACTTGTAATACTTCTGAAACAAGCATTTGATAGTATTGCGGGCAATACAGTAGTCCCCTACCGGTCCCTCAAAAAGTTCTTTAATTGTCATACACTCCTGTGTATTGCCATTTATAATGAATTTGAGGATGAAGTCTGTATTTGAAAATATCGACCACAAAACATAATAAAATAAGTTTGTCTATATCACAGTAATGTGTTAAGTTTCCATGCTTAGTAAGGAAATTATGTTTATACAACCTTGTCATATTATTACGATGTGGGATTTTAAAGTAAATCCTATAAGGAATGAAGAAGTTGGAGTGAAAATACCAGTTTCTCGAAAAAAATCTAAGTTCAAGGGGGACATAATTCTGGAAATAGTCTTGCTAGAGTATTTAACCTTCTCAAAAATGTCGAGTGATAATAAGAAACATATATATGAAGTTTGAAGTAGATACATTAGGAAATAAAGAAGTTATTTAAAAAAGACAACATTTTTTCCCCTAAAAAATCTAAGTTCAAGGGAGGTAATATTGATATTTTTTGTGCTAGAGTTATAAACCTTGTCACATATGATGTGGTTGATGACCAGGAACTTATATTTAAAGTTTGAAGTAAACACCTTAAGAAATAAAGAACATATAGTGAAAAAGCTGAAAAATTTAAATCAGAAATCTTGAAATTCAGGCTATTTGTTGCCATAGCAACCAAAATTTTCAACATAGGAAGAAAAGAAAAAGATGTGCATAATCTCCAGACTGCCATCTACCCATATTTCAAGTTTCATAAAAATATTTTCAGTACTTTTTGAGTTATCACTGGATCCAGTTTATGTGTTAAATTTGCCATATTTTCAGACTATTTGTTGCCATAGCAACCAGAATTTTCAACATAGGAAGAAAAAAAAAAGACGTGCATAATCTCCATACTGCCAACCAACCATATATCAAGTTTCATAAAAATATTTTCAGTACTTTTTGCGTTATCGCGGGATCCAGTTTTGTGGACGGACGGACTGACAGACTGACAGACTGACAGACAGACAGACAGACAGACGGACAGACAGACAGACAGACGGACAGACGGACGGAGGGTAAACCTAAAGTCCCCTCCGGTTAAACCGGTAGGGGACTAATAAAGTGGGGTGGTACGAAAAACTTAACCAAGGTGTGACGCCAACGCCGACGCCGACGCCGGGGCGAGTAGGATAGCTCCCCTTTTCATAGAAAAGTCGAGCTAAAAAGGGCCATAATTCTGTCAAAAACCTTGACAGAGTTATGTACTCTTGTCTGTAGATGGAGGTTATGATGGTGAACAAGTATGGTAAGTTTCAAAGCCATACTTGTAATACTTCTGAAATAAAGTGGGGTGGTACGAAAAACTTAACCAAGGTGTGACGCCAACGCCGACGCCGACGCCGGGGCGAGTAGGATAGCTCCCCTTTTCATAGAAAAGTCGAGCTAAAAATGAACAAAACATTAAACAGGGGCAAAAAAATCTAAGGAGGGAAAGTGGCAATAACTTTAAAAATAACACGAAAGGATTATCTGCCCCTGGGATATGGTAATTTTGTTAATGAAAAAGTGTATAAAGTTTAGAATGAATAGCTTTGATAGTTTCCATAAAAAAACAATGATTTGTATTACGTACCTTGGTATTCTTTTAAAGCAGTTTCTGCTGCCACCATCTCGGCCTGCTGTTTACTTCCCGCCACACCCACTGCGAGCCTCTTTTCTCGGAAATACACTGCTACCATATACTTCCGTAGATTTGTTGGTCCATACTTCCTGATAACCCTTTTATATAAAGAAAAAATGAGCCACGTCACATAAAACCAACATAGTGGGTTTGCAACCAGCATGGATCGAGACCAGTCTGCGCATCTGCGCAGTCTGATCAGGATCCATGCTGTTCGCTATCAGTTTCTCTACTTGTTATAGAGTTTGTAAGTGAAGAGCATGGATCCTGATCAGACTGCGCGGATGCGCAGGCTGGTCTGGATCCATGCTGGTGGCAAACCCATTATGTTGGTTTTGTCGTGACGCGGCTCAAATGTAAGTCAATGTTTGTCAATGTAAAGTTTGCCTTTATAATAATTCTCATCAAAATTTTAATTGAATTTATAATCAGGGTTCATACAGACATCCAATGCCAAAATTCAAGGACTTTTAAGCACTATTTAAGCATGTATTCCCATTTTTTAAGCACATTTGTTGCACATATATCAACCTAAGAAGGATAGTTTATTTACCATATTTTCTTGAATTATACACATTTTCTGGCCAAAATTTTAAGGTTTAATAGAAGAATAACAAAGGTTGCATCAAAAACAAATTAGTTCAAAACAACTGCAATTTGTCCACTAACTGTAACGTTGAGCAAACATTTAATTGATTTTAATACTAAATCCTTTTTTAAAATTTTGTTGACTGTTGATTTTTATCAATACTATGTCATTCAATCATTTTCAAGCATATTTTCAGCAAATTTAAGCACTTTTTAAGCACTTTTCAAGACAGTAATCAAATTCAAGGACTTTTAAGCACTGTTTTACATTTTTAAGCACTTTTTAAGAAAGGGACTCAAATTAAAGCACTTTTTAAGACTGTACGAACCCTGATAATTCAAAGTATAGCAAATGATTTTTACAAATTCAACTGATAAAAGATTAATATAAATCATTAACATCCATCACTCTGTTTCCTCTTTAAACAAATATACAATGTAATTGATGTATTATTGCAGAATTTGTGCACATCATAAAATGAAGTGCTTTTTGGGGGGTTGAATTTTATGTTGCACAAATACAGTATAGATGATATGGCCACTTTACAGCTTTACTGGTGAAGGAAGACCTCAGGTGCCCTTACGTGCATTATTTCTAGTACGACCAAACACCTGAGTAGAACCATCAATGTTCAGCAAGAATGAAATGTTAACACATCACATGATGTCTGATGTGACATCTTGAAATTTATGTCTATACATTCAATGTAGTACAGAATGTTTTTATTAATTCTCTTCCTATTAGCAAATAAAAATCTTATATTCAATTCCATTTTCAATTAGCTTGTGAATGAAGAACAATGAATTCATAATTCCTTTTTATCCACATGATAAAATAAATGTAACTGTAAACAACACAGGTTACTTTAAACCAGAAATGTGTTTATAGGACAGGGGGCATGAACAACTTAATATCATGCCTATTAAAACCATAGACATTTCCAATTTTAGCAGCAAAAACTTTATCACCGCTTTTTCTAGAAATTGCAAGGTGATTTCCTTATAAACAGTATCATAAACAGAACTATTTTCCCAGTGTAGCAATTTGATAATCAATAAACTTATTTGCATGAAATTGTGAACACTGGAAAAGTTTATAAACAACCAACTAAATGCATGTAAAATGTGGACAAAGCTGAAGATCAAGGTAAAATTGTACTTGTAAATGGGTATATCTGGGCTGTCATCATTCATATCTCGTAATGTAAGACAACATTGCTGTAGCTGCGACTTAGGATCATTCCATTCCTGGTCTGCTATAAAGTCCTGAAAATGTGATAAAATATATTTATAATAAATGTATAGATTAAATGTTCTCTCAAAAATAAGAAGCTTATTTAATTGTGAAAGATGCTCAATTTCAATACAGTGTAACTTCCGAATTCCGGAACTTCTGAAATCCGGAAACTTCTAAAAACCGAACAATTTTTTTGGTCCCGATTTTTTCTCTTCTTTTTTCTATTAATATAATACTTCTGAATTCCGGACGATATTTTCGTAAAATTAGAGTCAAATCAATGCAATTTTACCTCCAAAAACCGGAAATATCCAAAGGTGTGAAATACATTGTAAATCGAGAATGTTTACCCTGCAGGAAGATTTAATCTCCCTATCGATTGTTAACTAATTAGCGGTGATCGTGTCATTTGACACGCGTTAAAATCACAAACTGTGAAATTGTATGTTTGAAGTGATGCAGTTAACCAAAGTAATTTACGGCGGTCAGTTAATTTGAAGTGTTTATTAGCAGATTAAATGACAATTAATATGACAATGTATGCATCGAACATCTTTAGGGATTTTATTGCATTTGATGTAATAATTAACTAGAGGATGCTTTTGTAAAAAAGCGCATGTCTCCCCCACTGCACTGTGACCTTGACCTTTGACCTACTGACCCCAAAAACAATAGGGATCATCAGCTCTATAAGACCAATCATCCTATGAAGTTTGAGGGCTGTAGGTCAAAAGGAACTCTAGTTATCATCCGGAAACGAGAAATTGACCAACGGTCACTGTGACCTTGACCTTTGACCTACTGACCCCAAAAACAATAGGGATCATCTGCTCTATAAGACCAATCATCCTATGAAGTTTGAGGGCTGTAGGTCAAAAGGAACTCTAGTTATCATCCGGAAACGAGAAATTGACCAACGGTCACTGTGACCTTGACCTTTGAACTACTGACCCAAAAAACAATAGGGATCATCTGCTCAATAAGACCAATCATCCTATGAAGTTTGAGGTCTGTAGGTCTAAAGGAACTCTAGTTATCATCCGGAAACGAGAAATTGACCAACGGTCAGTGTGACCTTGACCTTTGACCTACTGACCCCAAAAACAATAGGGATCATCAGCTCTATAAGACCAATCATCCTATGAAGTTTGAGGGCTGTAGGTCAAAAGGAACTCTAGTTATCATCCGGAAACGAGAAATTGACCAACGGTCACTGTGACCTTGACCTTTGACCTACTGACCCCAAAAACAATAGGGATCATCTGCTCTATAAGACCAATCATCCTATGAAGTTTGAGGGCTGTAGGTCAAAAGGAACTCTAGTTATCATCCGGAAACGAGAAATTGACCAACGGTCACTGTGACCTTGACCTTTGAACTACTGACCCCAAAAAACAATAGGGATCATCAGCTCTATAAGACCAATCATCCTATGAAGTTTGAGGGTTGTAGGTCAAAAGGAACTCTAGTTATCATCCGGAAACGAGAAATTGACCAACGGTCACTGTGACCTTGACCTTTGAACTACTGACCCCAAAAACAATAGGGATCATCTGCTCAATAAGACCAATCATCCTATGAAGTTTGAGGTCTGTAGGTCTAAAGGAACTCTAGTTATCATCCGGAAACGAGAAATTGACCAACGGTCAGTGTGACCTTGACCTTTGACCTACTGACCCCAAAAACAATAGGGATCATCAGCTCTATAAGACCAATCATCCTATGAAGTTTGAGGGCTGTAGGTCAAAAGGAACTCTAGTTATCGTCCGGAAAAGAAGAATGGACGGACGGACTGACGGACGGACTGACGGACGGACGGACTGACGGACAGGGCAAAAACAATATGTCTCCCCCCGAGGTGGGGGAGACATAATTAACTAGCATCGGACGATATGTAAGTTTATGCAATTAAAAACATTTCTACAAACTGATAGAAATTCAAAAGCATTTGCAGGTAAGGTAAAAATGTATTCTTTTCATTCACATCTTTATCTTGATTAAAAGACTATTATATATGATATTACAGTAATGGCCACATCTACCTTGACATTTAGTGATATTAAGTGGCTTAGTCTTGTCCACATTATCATAAACCTCTGAATTCCGGAAACCTCTGAAATCCGAACTTTTTGACAAGTCCCATGGGTGTTCGGTTTTCGGAAGTTACACTGTATATGTATATTCCTTTATTACAAATTTGGAACATTGTCACATAAAATATCATCAATATAAAAATGACATTTTATTTATATTGACATGAGCTTTAATCCCGGCAATAATCTAATTTCAGTGCTTTTTAGTGCCAAAATTCATCCCTAATCTACATCCCAAAAAGTATATATTTTCCCTAGAACTGAAAGTGATAAGCTTTTGCCACCAGAAAAGAGCCAGTCCAGTCTGTAAAACTGTCTATACTCTAAACTAGGCTCTATACTGTTGGTAGCACAGTATATGTACATTGTATTTTGATATTGAAATCTTTTTGTGACAAGTCCAGCTGGTTCAGGGTTTCATAAAGAGTAAAATGATAAACAGAACAAATTGTAAATCACCAAGCTGCAGTTGCTTTTTTCATGTGTGGAAAAATATAAATTAATCATGTTCATATACAGTGCCATACTAACTATAATAAAATCTTTTACCTACTATATCAAGAAAGACTAAATTCATGAAATATTACCTCTAATCTAGGAAAGAAGCATATATCTGTTAGTATCTGGCATGGTTCCAGGCCACCATCTACATACAGGGCACCATACAATGCTGAAAATACATAGAGGATATCAACTGTAGTGAAAACAATATCCCAGTATACATAATACCACCTTTTTCTTATTCATACTACAAATATACTTAAATATATTTTAGTAACCAGTTAAAACATTAACTTGTTTTCATTACTACTTAAATGAAACTAAGTAGTACCAACTACTTGTTAATTAAATGAGCTATGATCTACATAAATGTGGGTTCACACTCTGTCAGGGACTTTGGATTCTTTCATGTGAGGAAGCCAGCTTACTAGCTCACAGAAGAAGTTTGGTGGTTCTACTCAGATGCCTGGCCCTGTCTGAAGTTATGTACATAGGGGCACCTGAGGCTAACACCAGCACAGCTGGAAATGTGTCATGTGGCATTTAGGTGTAAGTATGACAAAATCCATCCAAACACCAACAAACATTGTATTATTAAAGAGTTTTGCGCTTTTCAAAAAACAAATAAACATTGTGTTATATTGTTCTATAGTTAAGTTTTAACTAAAGTGTTACCTTCGAGCAGATCAGCCTTTTCTTTAGTTTTCAGATCTATATTGGTGAGAGGTTTCTCAGCTTTTGTCATATTCACTTTAATGACAAAGTCTGGCATTCCTAGCTCCGTGGCAACAGTTGACTGAGTTTTGTTGTTTACCAATGAACTTCTTAACAACTGAAAAAAGATGTAATGTATTAATGAGAAAGGTGCCCTAAGGACATTGATGCCCATATATTTCATTGTTTTGTCAGTCAACAGATGAATGTATATGCCCTTCCCAGGTGAAAGGCATAAAAAATATCAAGTTCAAAAAAGGCCATAATTCTGTCAAAATCCATTATAGTTATGGGTCTTGGAAATTGATCTCCAATTATGCTTTCAATAAAGTTTGTGAAGTTTCAATCAATTCCCTTCAGTACTTTTGGAGATAGCAACCTGCACTCAATAACTTAATCAAAGTGTGATGCCGAAGCCAAAACCTAAATGAGTACAATAGCTTTCCCTATCCTTCCAATGGTGGAGCTAAACATGATATAACACACTTAACTTAATTCAAAATGGATTGTCCTAAATGCAATACAGGGCAAAACCGTAACACAATATCTTAGTCAGTAAGTAAAAGGTTAATGATCTAAACATACAGTAAGATGTCCTTCGTGATGATCTGGGAAATGTTTGAAGAGATAATCTGTACAGATCAGCTGCATTATTGTATCTCCCAGGAACTCTAGACGCTGATTATGTCCACTGAAATAAATTTAATACATGCACAGATACCATAGAAACTTGTTCATATTATAATAATGCTTTCAATAATTGTTATATCATTTTTAAGAACTTGCAACTGAAAACATATTCTCTAAAACCTATTAACAAACAAAAAAGTACAACAAATGTACATATCTCAACTTTTTTTCTTCTTCATAAATCCTTATCTGTGATGATAAAAATAAGAATGCTCTGTAAGATTCAACCAAATATGTGTATATTTAACAGTTTAATATATTGAGTTTAATAACCAAAAAAAACTGTTTCATAAAGATATTCTTTTTGTGCTTGCATAGCAGACCATCATCATTATCATAATAATCATCATCATTACAAATATAATGATTTTCATTAAGTTTAACTTTATCATCACCATCATCACCATCATCATCAACTTTGTCATGATCATTATCATCATCACAATTATAATTGTTTACAACCTTATCTTAGTTATCATCATCATGTTCATCATCATCATCATCAAAATCAACACCACCACCTGTACTTACTATGTAAGATTGTTATATCCAACATTTCTCTGTGTGAAAGCTCTAGCTAATAAACGTATGTGTCTAAACTCATAACCAATGTCATCTTCAAACTGTACCAGTTTCTATAAATACAACATAGTATGGTATTAAGAAAAACAAACTTATTTCTTGTTCTAAATATAGCTTTAATTACGAGTACCTTTGCTCAAACCATCTGTGTAATTCAGGTCATATTCTGAGAAAAAAACTTACAGAACCCATAAGCCCACCTGTAATTTTTATTTCTTGATAAGAACATAAGAATATGATCTTCATTTAGTCAGCCGATTTGCTTTATTCAATAATAGACTTTCATGATATCTGAAATCTAACTTACAACGATGAAGAACAAGTTATGATCTCAGAAAAAAAGGAAATTGTTGAAACCCCTTTGGGGAAATCAAAAGATTAAGAAACAAAGACATGTTGTTCAAACCTTTTTAGGAAATGATCTCTAAATGAAGGGACAGGTTGATTAAACCCTTTTCGGAAATTACTGTAAAATCATTATTATTCGTGGGGCACGAATTTTCGTGGTTTTCGTGGGTTGGTCAATCCACGAATTTAAGATCCCACGAACTTTTATCCCAACAAATACTTCTTACCCAGTCTTTGTTCTATACTATATATTACAAACATGCGTCGGCTCTTTTCCGGCCGATATTTCGTGAAATTGATGTATATACAGACAGATAATCAGGTTAGTGACTTATTAAATCCGTTTACAATATTTAAGAAACTTGAAAGAAAACTCGATTATATGTCCGCAATTTACTGTCACAAATGTCGCATATACGTACTTGATCGTTGTAGTATACTAGGACTTGAATGTGTCAACAAGAATACTTGACATAATCGAGTAAATATGGGAACCCAGGCAGTGCAATAATTAGCGCTAATAAGAATTGTCAGTTTGCTCTTATATATAAAAAAAGTTTTTGATATTAATGTCGTAAGTACACAAAACTATAAAAAAAGAATACGATCTCTAAAACAGATTTATTTTACATTATTTTGTCGTTTTAAATGATCCAGTTTATATGAATTTAAATCTGTATTTGTGCGAATGCTATTCCGTCAACAACAAAGACGCCACCGACTTTTACAAGATCCACACATACAGTACTCGTGTTTTTTACCGAGATTAATTTATATGCATGTAAATTTACACAGTCGCTGTGACGTTGCGTGTAGTTACTGTCAAATATGTTAAGACCAATTCAGGCTCGCTGGTTAAAACCTGTCAGGTGTCGTATAAATTATGCAATATGTTTACATCGGCGAATTACAGGGGCAGTGTGTCCAATGGAGGTGCATATCATGTCACATACATGTGTTAATTGCAGTCAATTATCGGCAGTAACTGTGCTATATTAGTTATGCCCAGAGGCAAGGATTAAATTTATTGACAAGCGCTGTGTGACAAGTAAAGATATGTACATGTTGTAAGTAAAAATGTTCGGCGATTAAGTTTAAGATTATTTTGCATTAGGTTACTGAATTTTTTTTTAACAAGAAAACGAAAATCCACGAATTTAAGAACCCACGAAAATGCCCTTTCTGATAAAACCACGAAATTTCATGCCCACGAATTTAAGTGAATTCGCAGTATCTAAGAAGTAAGGGACATCTTGTTCAAAACTTTTCTGGGAAACAAACTCAGAAGAAATGGGCAAGTTGTTCAAATCTTTTTTGGGCAATGTGACTTCAGAATACTAAAGAAGAACTTGTGACTAGTTGTTTGAACCCTTGTGGTGAAATGATCTCAGAAGAAATGGTTCAAACCCTTTTACAGGGGAAATGATCACAGGAGCAAAAGATGAATAGTTCAAAGTAAGCAACCTCTGTATCCTGACAGCCCTAGAATCTCATTAGATATCCTCTCATGAAAATGTTTACCTGTAAAACATGACTTTGTTCTATCCAGTGTCTGTCCCCATCAGGCTCATCTGCTACTAAAGGATGTTTCGGACAATTTACCCAGGTATCTAGAAGATCCTCCTCTTGAAAACACGTTCTAGAAAACACCCTGTCCGCTAGTTCTATTCCACCATCAAGATATAATGCCCCTATAAAATATCAATGTACATGTATATTAATTGATAAAATCAAGGACTGATAACTATTTCTAGGTTATATAATTTCATATACATGTAGTTGAAAATATTACTTATGAAAAATTCAGATTAAAAAATAACCTGTAATTCATAAAGAAATACATGTACATGTATTTCTAAAATATAAAGAAATATTCAACTCGGAGAGCTATGAAATAGATTGCTTACAATCTAGGACCTAAAGTGGCATAAATATGGTATAATTACTGATTAAAAGTTCCAAATATTATACACTTTGCAACTAGAGCTTAAAATATGGCATTTTCACTTACACATGCCAAAACTTGCATACTTATCTTATTTCAGTTCTAGAATGTAATTCCTACCAATGAAAACCAAACCAATTGTCACATCAACACTGTAATGATCATATGACAACTTTCCAGCTTTAGTCGGTGAAGAATACCTCGTGTTCAGGCACATGCCAAGTAGAACCACTGATTCTCCATAAGCTAGCTGAGTAACTTCCTCACATGAAAGAATTAATAGTCTGTGGTGAGATTTGAACCAACAGCAGCGAGAGGCAAGTGGTTTGAAGTCAAGGACCTTAATCACATAAAAAATACGCTATGATATAAAATAATATTTGAGTAATATGTAATGTATCTCACCCATCAGGGCTTCAAAACAGTTGGCCATTGCATGTTTGAGATTACTATCATGACATAGGTCAGGGCCATGGGCATATAAAAGATATTCTTGCAGCTTAAGTTTCTGAAAACAAAACAGTAAATTAATTAGCAATCATTCATACTTGTGCTCAAACTTAGTAATAAAACTTAAAATAAAATTTTAAAATAGTTTTTTTGTCTATTGCAATTGTTGAAATCCTCATAATCACTGCCAAATACATAAACAAAAACATTTCTGAGAATTAAAATATTATAAGACTAATATGAATATGACAGATGCAATTAAAATATCAAACAAGATGTGAAATGTTTAATGTAACTGACTTACATCAGCAAGAATGGCTAGGTGAGCATTATTGACTAGAGATCCACGGTACAAGGTCAGGTCACCTTCTGATGCCTGCGGAAACATGTTGTACAGATGTGTACTGAAATAAAAATATATCACACAAGTCATTAAAATATCACAGATTTAAGAAATATACTTTAAACACCAAATTTAAAATTACATGAACATTTTGAAATAATCCATTCTAAGCTATATTTTTCATAAAAACAAAATGCAACAATCATACACAAACTTATGGGCCAACATGATCAAGTCCATTAACTTTCAAATACTTCTCTCTCAGAGTTTTAGGTTCAAACTCTGCCACAGACATTTAAATATCTGGGACAAGAAAGCTTTCTATATACCTCTTAAAAGTCAGAGATACTAGCAAGATATAAGGCACTCAGGGGCATAAAGATGTCACAGTGAACCAATGAAAGTTCAAAAAATCCCCTAATAATTTTAACAATGTCCTTGTAACTTACAGCTTTACCAGTCCTGATGGAACCTAAGAGATTAGCTTTTGCCCACAGTATAGCTCTAGGACAGCCCGTTTGTATTTGCAGTGTAACCTGGTTATATACTATTTGTAATTCAATTTATATAAACTGATATTTAAATACCATATACTTTTGAGTAGACTGTTCCAAATTCCAGGCAGGGTTAATCTATTACATAAATTCAGCAGGTTAACAAAATATAAAATAGGGTTTTAAACAAATATACATTTTGAGTTCCCAGGGATTCCTGTTTTATTATGTTGGGGCTCCTTTATTACAAAACAGGTGTCCAGCAATGAATATTATGTAAATCTTTATGTTATAGGGAAATAATGCAAAAGTTCCCATATTGGTTACACTGTATACTCTTGATAACTTGGAATATGTTCTGGATTCAATATTGAATTTTAATCCAGCACACCACAATAAAAATATACATGGCATGTACATGCATCAATTATTTTTCAAGTTAAAATCATGCTTTTCATACTTTTGTTGCGATATTCCAACACAGAGGTTTGATATGTTCCAAAGTCTATCTACAAAGTTTTGCAGTTTGAAAGTGGTATATACTTTTTTTTTTCAACATTTAAGTTTTTTTTCAGTGCATCCCAATGGATGCAAATTGATATTTTGTAGAGGTCCCATTGATAGATGCCTACTATGACCTTTTATTTGAAAAACAATAGATTTAACAACCAACATTAATGTGTGCTATTTTGTTAACAAATATGTTGTGGTGAAATTCTTATTGTATAATACACTGATAAAGAATACCCAAACTAGCAGACAACAGGATTTTCTCATCAGTAGTTTTAAGAGAAAAAATAACCAGCTGCATTTTTCACTATATAAATGGTATGTAAAATGGTCTGACAGTTAACAGTTATTGTAAATACTTTAGTGTCATAAATCTTAAAATCAGTCATTAAATCACAACAAACTAGGGGTTTAAAAAAGGCTTAATTTGTATTGTTTTAGCATAAGAGATATCGACTTTACTCAAGATAAGGGAAACTAGAAATGTGTCCATAGGACACGGATGCCACTGTTCTGTCAATCTTAAGACTCTAGGTCAAATATTTTTTGGACAACATGTGCCACAAGTTGAAAACTAAAAATCAACAAAGGGCCATAATTCTGTTAATTCTGTTAAATTTGGTCGCAGCAAAAATTTCTTCCTTAACTACCATCTACACATTAAGGTTGTTCATCCCTGGAAGTTTAAGCAAAATCTGCCATCCGGTTTAAGAGGAGTTGCGTTCACAAAATTTCTACATAGTAAATAGTGAAAAAGTCAACAAAGGGCCATAATTCTGTAAAATTTGGCCGCAGCAAAAATTCCTTCCTTTACTACCATCTACACATTAAGGTTGTTCATCCCTGGAAGTTTAAGCAAAATCTGCCATCCGGTTTAAGAGGAGTTGCGTTCACAAGATTTCGGGACATACGGACAAACCGACAAGTGCAACGCTATATGCTCCCACTCTGTGGGGGCATAACAACTCGTTATATTTCAGATTTACGTAGTTCATATCAAAACTGTTTATGGGTGTATTAAAATTAGACAAGTAAGGGATCTACGCATTAGTCATTTTGTACATAAAGGAGACAGAAGTTTGTATCCCATAAAACCCTGTATAAAATCAACTACACCATGAAGCAAGGTTCTACCTTGTAACAAACTCCACCACAGCATCACCCAGAAACTCCAGCCTCTCATTGTGTGGTATTTCGGATCTCTTCTCTTCCTTGTGACCCATCTTAGCCATTATTCTCAACAATATGTTCAGACCTGTTTATATAGAAATTGTAAAATTCTACTAAACATCTGCCATATTGTTAATCTACATGTGGACATTAGGAAAGAGTTTTTAAAAAGACTTCCAGCTTTCTACATAATCCATGATTATACTTATTTGCATTGTGTGTATAAATAAAATTTTATACATGTATCGTTAAACTCTTGCCATGTTAAATGTCTTAATAATATCTGTCATATGTTGCGGGTTCCCGAGGGACGGATATTTTGATCCGAACCGCAAACATATGTCAGATATTTTTTCTTGCATATTCTGCCATATTATTTCATATTTAAAATGGTTGACCTCAATATGATATATGTTCATGGAAATTAAAGTCATTTCATCCATAACTATTTTCTTTCAATAGCGTAAGAAATTACAACTTAATAGCAATGGCGAAATGACGTCATCCTATGCACATATTTCCCTTCTAAAACAACGTCATTTTAACGCTGTTCATTCATAAAGTGCACTAAAATGATGTTGTTGTTTGGCACGTGACTCATCTGGCACCCCCATGCCAGATGAAATTTCCGACATGGGTAAAACTCACGGAAAAGCCAGTTCGCTATGCAAGAATAAATAATCTTGTTCATCTTTCAAATCTGAACAAAACCATGCATCTTTTTTGAGGATAAAATTCTAAATAAGTACTGACTGAATAGCAAACAGTGCTGTGCCCTCTGCATCATGGGGTAGTGTTCATCAACCATTTCAGATATTTTAGATAACAAGTATTTAATGAAGGTGCATAAAATTAACGGTATTAAAGTACATAGGGCAGATAGTCCAGAAAAAAAAGAAGAAAAATAATATGCTTATTGCCGATCATAGAAATAACAAAATAGGCACATAAATTACTTCACCTCTTTTTCTCATGTGCTGTGTGACAGTTTTATGATCACCAAACTCGAGCTGTCGGAAACCACAGTTTGACAATGAGTTCCGACCATGATCTGGATTTGTTCCATAATTGATCTTGTATGAACTATGTGTCATAGCCAACTAAAATATAGTTAAAGTATGAGGGAAAATAATGAACCTGCATAAAAAGTATAAGTAAGTAGAAATATGTTTCATGTTATCAATTTGAATATGTAAATATCAATGAATTGCGGCAAAATAATGGAAAACTTTTACTTTATTGTGACAGATAATGGACAAATTTTAGATGACCTGTGAAAAATTATGAATTATATTTAGATCTTATAAACACCTGAGAAAAGTATCTTTAAATGAACATGATCATCTTTTAGCAAAGAAAGTAGAAATTTACTGTAAATGTAATTAACGACAGTATATGTATCAGTATTTGCTTTTTGTAGCAAATCTTTCACTATCTTTATTGTGTGATAAAATGCATAAAAAAAGGCATTTTTGTACTGCATAAAAGGATGATAAGCTATCAAAGTATTTGGGTTACATACCTGGAGAAGTGACCTGTCTTTAAACTGATAATTAATGGACCTCTCTAGTTCTGAGAGGCATTCATGGAATCTCAGATGTTCAAATAATACTGGTAATATCATGGCATGCTGAAACATGAGTATCATTTATTGAGGTTATTAATTCCAAAAAATATAAATTGAACAGCACACTATAAAGATCCTGGATGCCTCCATACAGGTAACATCACTTCCAGCATTCTAATGGTTTAATTAAGTTGGTACTATTTTCCCTATGTTTACAGGTTAAAGAGCTAGTCTGTTATTTCTTTAAAATGCTTTAATATTTTCTGTGAATAATGACAAGCTTTTTGCAAACATGTCATTATATTTTTATTTGCTTTTCTTCTAAAACTTTTACGCAACAATTATATTGTTAAATTATAAGCAATTATTACCTCCCCTGTCATTCCCAATACATGTATATCATTATGCTTAAGATAAGATAAAAATCTCCCATAATTCTATCATCTTCGTGAAAACTGATAAAAAATATTTTACATATTGGTGCTTAAATAATACTTTGCTTCATATGTACTAAACAATTTGACAATTCATGCAAATAAGCTGTTTATATTAATTTTTTTCATATTTTGTCAATTATATAGAATATTGACCCCTAAAATGGCTGCCACTTTTGGCAAGGGAGGTAAATATTGTAAAAATGTGGAACTATCTCTTTTACCTGACAAATGTCTGCTCTAATACCCGTCTTCAAAAATCCTTCACTAGATACTGCAATAGTTACTTCCCTTTTCATTGTGCTGAAACACATATTATCATGTGACCTTATTTATACCACTGGAAATATGTCAACCTTAAGAAACATCAACGTTTGATTGTTGAGATTAGGTTTTACATCACACCGACACAGTATAGGTCATATAGAGACGTTCCAGCTTTACTGGAGAAGGAAGACCTCAGGTGCCCTTCAGTGCATTAAACATTATCATAATGATCCTTATGAAGGTGCATGCACTGAGAAACATTTGCTGCATCATTTTCATGGTACATGTATTAAAAATACACATACTGAAAAGAGTTATTCCCTTTTATAAAGTGTTGGGTTTAAAGTCAAACCAACACTCTAATGATGATATGGTGACTTTCAAGCTTAACTGGTATAGGAAGAACACAGGTGCCTCTCCACCAGTCTTTCAGGCATAAACAGGCACCTTAGTGGAACTACCAACGTTCAGACAGCTGGCCAGAAAGCTTCCACACATGAAAGAATCCCAAGTTCCTGACTTAATTCAAACCAACAGTGGTGAAGAGGCAAGTGGTTCAAGTTAGCAACCTAAACCACTTGGCCATAGAGACTCCCTGATTCTTGCACAGCATCTACAACATACTTACTATCTTCACCCTCAAGTGTCCTACAAATATTTATTTCTTATTTCTACAATATAGCTTTTAAGATTCAAATCTTTTTCTCTCTCACTGATGAGGTCTGATTTTGTACTAAGGCAGGCCAATAATCCCAAATTTCAGATTATTTCATTGCATACTATACCAGTTACACGTTTACATTATAACTTTCACCTCCAACATTTCATCATAATCTAGAAAGAAATGTTTTTAGATGAACATAATCACAACTATATAGACCACAAATAATTCTCAGATACATATAATTCCATACCATTTCATTCTTATTTTCTCGAGATCTGCTTCAAGGTCATATAGTTTCTGTTTCTCATTATCCGGAACTTTAGCCCTACTATACAATAAATGTCTGAACTTCATGTACTCTCTCCATTTCTTCTTATACCTGTTTCAGAAATAAACACACAATAATCAATAAAAGGAAGCAGACAAGATAGGCCCTATTATATGTTACATCTAAGGAAAATTTGAGAAATTTGCATGCTCAATTAAATAGTGGCCAAGGTTGAGGATGTGAAGTTAAATAATAAAAATCTACAGAGCAAGTTTGAAAGTACAGAGTCTGATGATTGTTGACACTAAAGGCCTCGCATTTTTTCTCCTTAACCCTGACCCTCCTATATTTGTGTAATACACTTGCCATGCTTTCAATATGGAAAAGTCCGTTGGGTACATTGTAAAAGCAAACATGGATTTACTTTGATTAAAGTTTATTTTTCAACCTCAAGTACATGTACTTCCAATTGACGTCATTCACCTGTTATCTTTCTTATTTAAATATCATTAACATGTTTTAAATTACATGTCTTAATCATTTCAGAAAAATAGGAAATCATTTTGTCAAATTCATTATAATAAAGGTCGTCCATTGGAAGTACATGTACTTGAGGTTTAAACTGCCTTTTTTAAACAAGAAGTTAATACCCGGGTGGCAGTAAAAGGAATGTTTATAAAAAGCTTAATGCAGATTTGTTTTTTGCTTTTTTTACATAAAGGTGGTGTGTTAAGTCTACAAGACACCGTTTAGTTTGCATTGCATTTTTTTCCAAGTGAGCAAAGTTTAAATCGTGAAGTGGTAAATCATTACAGGCAGATATAGGAAGTGATATATAAACTTACACAGGGTCTCCGGCGTAGCTAAGCTGTGGTGGCCGTACACCATGATGTATAATAAAGGGAAGTTTTAACTCGCCATCTCCAGGTGTACAGCCTGACCTATCCAGTTGATCTATTCTAATAGAACTTGGTCTCTATAATGTAACAATTTGCTGTAGTAAATACATGCCTGTCATATAAATCAAACTTACCAACAAATATACACAGCTCCTGAGCTAGACTGGATTTATTAAAAACCAAATGTAATAATAAAACCTGACAAATTTCAATATAACCGGTCTAGTGTGTAGACTGTTGTGGACAGTCTAAATTTTCTCTTAACTTGCTGTATTTGTGTTAGAATTTTCCCTGCTTTGAATTTTGAATGGTCTATTCACAATTGTAAAGATTTCAGTATCAAAAAACAACAATTGAGCTTTACAAAAATTGAGCTACCAACAGAATAGAACCTGGTTAGATTGCACATATGTAGCATCTGTTACAGCAGTTATTACTCCAATATGAATAAATCAGTATATTATTATCTTATCTACAAACATATCAAGAAAGGCGTATCCTTGATTCTGATATTGATAATTAAGCCGCGTCACAACAAAACCAACATAATGGGTTTGCGACCAGCATCGATCCATACCAGCCTGCGCATCCGTGCAGTCTGATCAGGATCCATGCTGTTGCTATCAATTTCTCTACTTGTAATAGGGTTGGTAAGCGAACAGCATGAATCCTGATCAGACTCAAGGATGTGCACGCTGGTCAGCTGGATCCATGCTGGTCGCAAACCCATTATGTTGGTTTTGTCGTGGCACAGCTTATATTTTTATGGTTTGGTGGTGAAGTAAGAACAAGGTAGTCCTTAATGGCTCACCAGCAGATATGGTTTGAGGGATATTCATTGTTCATCAGACCAGAAACATTTGAGCAACTTTAATAAAAGGACTACCCAATGTTTGTTCTTGTTTAGTTTAATCACTATTAGGAGAAGATGTCATTTTAAGCTTATTTCTATTTTTAGCCTTGGTGGCATCCTTGTTCAAAAGACTACAGTAGTTAAAAGGCTTTTTAGTTATTTTACCACAATTTGTGAATTCGAAAAGTTTGCAGTTTTTCCCTAAATAAATAAAACAGAAAAAACAAACAATGTACCTTGCCAGGACAGGTAACTACCATATGTCTAAAGCTGTCCACATATTTGGTCCAGTTCTCATTGTCTAGATCATACATATTGAGTAACTCTGACGGTTCTAGTAATGACTTTGAGGATTTTAGCAGATATAAAAGCACATCATTCATTGATAACAACTCCTTGCCATTTTCTGAAAAACAAAAAAAAACTGACATTAACAACTACAACAATGATAAACATGGAAAATGTTAGAAAGCCTTTATAACTTGATTTAGTCATTAGATAATCAGCAGTCTATAATATTCTCTAGAACTTTTCTCATTTTTTCAAATATCAGTTAACCTTCTCCCTAAAAAACTAATTCTAAATGATTAAGTATAAAAATATAGAAGAATGACAATCAAGTTTTTTTTTAATCCTCAATTACTGTTTTGTGTCAATTTTCTTCATTTTTAGCCTGCTAGTGGTGACCATGCAACCAGCGCAGATCAAGATCAACTTCCACATTTTACATTTTTTGTAATTTTCCATAAAAGTGATTAATGGTTTTGTCCAGATTGAAAGTGTGACAAGTCCATTTATGATATTTAGTGTGATAAGGATTAATAAAGTTGCTGTTTATGAACCACCTATCCTTTGCCATAGTGGGTTCAAATCCCTCCAGAGACTTTGCTTATAAAATGAGCAGAAGCTATCCAGCCAGCTTACACAAGGTAAGTGGTTGTATTCAGGTAGAACCAGAAATAGCCAGAAATAATGCAAACTGAGGTCTTTCTTTACCAGTAAAGCTGGAAAATCACCATAATTTCCTTTACAGTAATATACATAAATCTTGCACCAAAAAACATGTTTCTTCCCAATAAATTTCTATTTCAGCCAAATTCATGTATCTGCAAACTAACTACCAAGGACTCAATCTAATTTGGCAGAATGGACTTGTTCTTTGAATTAGGAACTACTTTCTTAGTTTTAGGGAACTTTATAGTAATAACATGAGTATTAACTGTCTATTGGAAGAATCCACTTATCCAGTCTGAACACGCTCTAAACTGACAGTAAAAGCCTGTCTCTAGTATTACAAGCATACAAAAAATCTATAGCTCTAGAATTATACCTGGAAAAGGTCGTGCAAATCGTGGCATGACATGGAATCTCCTACAGTGACCTTCACCTCCAGGACCTCGCCAGTCAATGTCCACTAATTCAAGGATTTCATCAAATAAATATTCAGTAAACATGTCCAAACTCTGAACTGAAAAATTCTGTAAAAGAGAAAATTTATTATTACATTTTCTTTGTATTCAATTTAATGAATTCATAGAGGATATTCAAGTTTGTTCTGTAATTACAGGATTTATTTTCACTGAGTGATATGAAAATTATCATATTTCACCAGTGGCTACTGTCACAAGTAAAATATGATAATTTTATATATCACAAGATGAAATTTAATCCTGTATTTAAGGAAAAACTTAAATTTTCTATTTAATATACTCTTTTTTGGACTTACATGTACAATTCCTACGACTTCTCCTTGAATTTTGTGTATTGGCTAAATTAAGAAGAAAGGAGCACGGAAAGACACCAGCGAAAATATGGATAATATGTTTCACTGCAGTGAAAAATAAATTTTTACAGTACAACGGAAAATGAAAATACGCATTTTGTTTCATCAAAATTTCTCAGTATATTTCATTTATAAGTATATAATAAATTTGTTTATTTACATACATCTTTAAGAAAATAATACACTTCATTGCAGCTCACTAAAAGAACTGCATCTTTACATATTTGGTTTATACAGAATTTATTTTAGTTCGATTGTGTAGGAAGCTATAAGCTTAAAGACACACTTTTGAATTCGTTCACGAAACCAACCAGTACTGAGCAATAAGTGTAAAGTTTCTTGCTCAAGGAAATAAAGACTTGCCCCTGACAGGTTTTGAACCCATGCGGCTAGCAATCATTAGATTTCTAGTCCGATGTGTTTAAATATTTCCTAATACACTAAAATAATCTTACCTCCGGAACTTGTTCTTCTACAACATGTATTGTATAAATAATATTGAACCTGATCACCTGACATTCTGGTAACTGAAAATATACACAACATTATTACAGTAACAATCAGTATCTTTATCTGATTTCTTTGTGTTAAAATTGACATAAATATTTGCTTTTTCTTTTTCAGACAATGTTAAAACGTAAAGACTAATCTACAGAAATATGATAATTAAAAGATCTGCAATAAAACATAACCCTTTTTGACCTTCCTGGGTTACCATGGAAACTATGTGCGATTAGTGACAATACTATTGCCACCAGTACAGATCAAGATCATATGGCACATCCAAATTTTAAAATTTTCTCTAAAATTAATGAATTGGTTTAGTCCAGATTGAAGGATGGACAAGCTGTATTATGATGATATGATGATGATTTGATGATGATATGATGATGATTTGATGATGATATGATGATGATATGATGACGATTTGATGATGATATGATGATGATATGATATTTAAGGATATTTAGCTTGGTATGGGATAAATCATTTTGTACACAAAGTTATTGAAAATTCTGTCAACATAAATTTGGTATAAAAGGATGCATTATGCAGAGTTGATCAAGTTCTATTCAAGTTAAGAAAGTTGTATTTAACACACAAATTGCATGAAATTTAACATTTGCCTGGTCCCAAGTATTTTCTAGTCTATAAGGGGGCAGACTTCTTCCTGTTTTAAGTGCACTTTGAGATAACTTTGCTATGATTACAGAAACCAGTGATGCTGACCTTTGAACTTTTGACCTTAAAAAAGAGTGTGTTGACAGGTAGAACTCATTAACATGCATCCACATACTATTAGTTTAAATAATATTGTATGTTATAATAGATTGAAGTTATGGACCATAAACACAAAATCAAAATGGTAAATTAATACCTCCTCAAAACAGGGCTGAAAATTCATTCTCTAAATAAGGCAAACTTTGTGCAATTGTTCTTTTATTTTATTCTATCATTTTATATTTTTCAATTTTACTTCTTTTCAATTTAAATGTATATGTATATTGTGCAAAGATTTCACATGCAAGCACTCAATCATGACAGCTTTATATATTTTTATCATAAAGTTGTATTCATCTTGCAATTAAACAATAAATTGTGATTCAGAATAAACTAAAATGGGGAATATCTTGTCAGCTATAAATAGAAAATGAAGATGGGAAATACCAATTATGCTAAAAATAGCTATTGCTGATTCAGTATGTAAAGCACTAATGTACTAAAAATAGACCCTAGAAACAGGTAAATATTGGGGTAATCATGCATGTGTTTATAATAAATCTTTGATGTGGTTTAAATTTTACAGATTGAATTACAGAAAATATACTTTGTCATCTGACTATAATTTCAGGAAATGACGGTCAATAGCAGGTACTTCTTGTTCACCTTGACTGAAATTTACATGATTTAAGGAAAAGTCAATGTTATCTTTTGATGGAATGGAATAATTATTTTGACCTTTAAACTGCTGTTTAATTTTCATAACATTTAACATACTTTCGTCAGATAAGAGTTCTCTACATATGGAAAATTTGTCTGATAATATACTTATAGTATTATATACAATAATTTAATTGACATAATTTGAGGATTTTAATTTATTCAAAATGGAAACTGAAGAAAAGAAAGTTGACACGAAAAATTCTGCTGAGTCACACGATTTTCTATGCACAATGTGTAAACACAAACAGAAACATATAAAAGCAGACCTGTTTTGTGTTGAATGCATTGATCACTATTGTTCATCTTGTGTCAAAGTTCATGAAGACGTTCCATCCCTATTTGGACATACTATTCAAAATATACAGGAGTTACAGCAAAAATCAAGCACAGTACTTTCTGCGACACCATCAGAGAGATGTGAGAAGCACCCTCATAATTTAGTGGAAATGTACTGTCGAAGCCATGATACTGTCAGCTGTGCTGTATGTCTTACAGGTGTAAATCATAGGTAAAATTTTATCTATATATTTATATCAATATTATAAAGAATCCTGATATTTGATTGGTTAAATCTTGTAAGACTGACATTTGATTGGTTAAATCTTGTAAGACTGACATTTGATTGGTTAAATCTTACTTAACTGACATTTGATTGGTTAAAACTTGTTAGTCTGGAAAATGATTAGTTAAATCTTGATAAACTGACATATGATTGGTTAAATCTTGTTCACCTTAAATTTGATTGGTTAAATCTCGTTTGCCTGACTTGATTGGTTAACTTTTGTTGATCTGACATTAGATTGGTTAAAAAACAACAAATCTTATGAATGTTATAAAACAAACTTTCTATTTCCGTGCAGTTAGGGTTTTTTCCTTTTTAGTGCCACTTTAAAGGTAGGAATATAGAAAATTTTCATAATAAAACACTCAATAAATGAAGAATGTGCCTAGCAGAATATGATTCATTAAAATGAACCTTTCCACTGCTTTATAAACATAAAGTGGACTTGTCCTACTATGAACATGGAACTGTCCAATATTAAGAAAATCAAGAAATAACATTTAGTTAAATAAAGGTACCATCACTATGTGATTTATTCAACCTATAATTTCATATATGAATACATAATTTATATATGGTGTGTGACACTTGAAACTTATAGGCAAAGCCTAAGAGGGAAATAAAGAGAGAAATGTCCTCACTATTAATGCTAGCAATAATTGCTATGTTAAATGCAAGCAATGAGACAAAAGTAAATAGCTAGCATTTGAAATACTGTCAAATTCTAGCAATTATCATAACATACAATGCTAGCAATAAACACAATGTCAAATGCTTGCAATCACTTTCTTAAAGTAGTTTTTCAAAATTTTCAGAATACCAAACCGTTTATTGTTTAAAATTTCAGGTTGTGCCGAGATATTTTCTACATACCTGAGTTTGTCGAGAATAATGATGTTGCTTCATTGCAAGAAGGTTTTCAAACAAAGATAGAATCAGCCATAGCAACCATGGCAGAATGTCAAAATATAAATCAACATAAAATACAGGATCTCCAGGCAAAGAAAGAAAGATTACTGGAGAATATTGCACAATTTAGAAATGAAATCAACGCAAGACTTGATAAACTTCAAGACAAGACAGTTTCTGAAATTGAGGAAAAGATGGCAGCATTAACAGGGGAGCTTAATAAAAAGATAAGTAATCTAGAGGCAGATATAGCTAGAATGAAATCTGCCCAGAAGAAAATTGGTACTGCATCTACTAACAAGAGCCAGGCCTTTGTCAGTACTAAAATTGGATTAGAAGTTGCTGACAAGGCAAACTATATTGGAAATGAAGATAAAGACCTTGGTCATATGGAAGTTCCTGATTTTAGAGGTGATCAGAGAATCCTCTCTTTACTTAGAGAAATAGAAGATATGGGCATAGTGAGACCAATATATGCACAAGAAACTGATGCCAATAATGAAATCAACATGGCCGACAAATCTGCACCTGACAAATCTAACCATCCCAATGCTGATGTAACTATAGCTAATAAAGAGACTAAAGAGAGTAAAGAAACTATTGTACATTCTGAAAGTGAACATGCTGAGCAGTCTGGACAAGAATCCGCTGGAGGGAAAAAAGTTTTACAATTTCAGATCAAAGGCAAGAAGACAGTGTGTACTAAAGTAGATTCAGACTGTAAGAAGATAGACAGCCAAGGTATAGTAAGTTGCTGTTTCATGAAAAATGGGAAAATTGTACTTTGCGACTATGACAATAAGAAACTGAAAATGTTACACAGATCTACGTATGAGGTCACCAATCAGTTTGACCTTCCTGGTTTACCATGGCAACTATGTGCAATTAGTGACAATAGCATTGCAGTAAGCTTAGGTAAACTGAGAGAAATTCAGTATTTTTCGTTACAATATAACATCCAAAAATCAGGTTCCTTCAGCACAGATCATAACTGTTACGGCCTAGCTTACGCAAACGACAATTTGTATGTTTCTGACAGTGATACGTACATCTACATATATAGTGAGTTCGGAATAAAGCAAAAACAGGTTACAAATACCTTGCTTAAAAGCCCCAGCTTCATAAATAGTTGGTTAGATATTAGCTTAAAAAATCTAGCTGTTACTGATGACGGTTCAAGAATTTTCGTCACACACCCAACCAATGGGCTTATCATGCTAGACACTGAGGGAAAGGAAGTTCAACAATACAATGGCATTCAGTTACAGCATGCATATGGCTGTCACTATCTTAGTGGAAACAAAGGCCTTCTGGTTTGTGGAATGGAATCAAATAATATCTTGCTGTTTGGATCAGATGGAGAAATTATACAACAGGTGTTACGTTGGGATGGTGGACATGATTACAAACTTGTATGCTGTAACCAAGAGAGAACAAAGATGATCGTTTGCAGGGACGGGACATACTACATAGATATTTTTGATGTAAAGAAAGATACATAAACATAATGATAAGATAATGTTCTGTGCGGGTATTCTGTACATCATATTAAAGGTTTAATGAAAGTGTTTAACTTAATTTAACTATATTGTTGTATTTTTTAAAAAAAATTTTTGAGAATTGTTAATTGGTCCGCTTGTAGAGTGGCATGTGGATTAAAGGGACTCCACTCACGTTTATTGAAATGACGGAACTGGAAAAATTTTTCGAGATCAACGTTCCATTTGATGTTGGGTTAGATAAATAACTTGTGTGAAAAAAAATCAGATCATCAGCTCACTCTGTTTTCCAAGAATAATTATTCTAATATTTAAAAAATGACCAAAAATTGATAAGCGTTGCAACGCTTTTCACTCAAATTGTGCTAGGAATAGCACAAAATACGATTTTTTAATTCACTTTTGAGTAATTTCTAAATTATCTTTTGTATCTTTTTCTGGTTTTAATGCTCCTGCTATTTTATGTAAGAAATACAAATTTTATGTTTTTAGGCATTTGGACCTCATGGAATTCCTTTAATCGTTCAGAGGATCCATCATTGTTGTCCCAGGTCTAGTCACAATGAAAGCTGATTATATGATTGTATTCATTTGTGAACACCAGCTTTTCTATTTTCACCCGTGACTTCACCACTCGTGAAAATTTTGCATCTGGTGTTCACTCAGTGAAATATATTTCAATCTTACATGTAAAACAAATAAATTTTCTTTTTATTTCATGCTTTTTAAGTGATTTTAAGTATTTTTTTACTGATTTTGCCGCGTAATGTTTTGAATTCTCCTTAATAATGTCATCACATCATGACGTCACATCATCAATTTTGAAACATAGTTCTGTTAAATTTCTCTAATTTTGTTACATTTTCCACATAATGTATGATGACATTGACTTTGTTTTTCTTAAAAAGCAAAATTTGCGTAGGACCGCATTAATTTTTGCCTGTTATTCCATTTTATGATATTCTTTTCATCCGCATTCAGATATAGTCTGGCTACTGGCATGAGATTACAGAAAAAGTACCCGTATTTTTCATTTAATCTTTACTTGCATTCTTCAAAAATTGATATCAAATCAAGCAGATGCATAAACGAGATAAAATCTAAGTGTCAATTCGGCAGTACGTATACAATGTTACATTTTAAATCATGTTCACCTGTGCGTAGTCAAAACTAGACCTTGTTAACTTTGGGGGATTCAGTCCTTGCGGGCATGCGCAAAAATACTTACATGTGAGGCCTGTTAAAGGGTTTTCCACTAATACCATCCGGGGAACAGACAAGTGGGCAATGTGATGAAAACCTGTTTTATTATCAGACTTTTACTTATATCACTATATTAAATAACTTTATGGGTTAAATGAGTAAAATGTTATGTAACAAGCAAGCCATTGCATGTGATTACATCGGGGTACTAGTATCGGGTAATAGAAACCAGCATCTAAGTCCACGCTCTATACCCTTAATAACATCAATCTAGCTCTGGGAAAATGGTCTCTTCAACAATTATAAATGGAAAATAGGCCTGATATGACAACATGGTATAATTATAATGGGTTATATTTTATGTACGGGAACTACTTCTCTTCATACAAAATAATGGATAATTTGGTACCCCATATGAGGCCTCATAAGTAAGGGTTTTTCTATGTATAGAACATGATGGAATTTCCATAATTTGTGTGACGAGCTGAATATTGATGTGTAACATTCAATTTTTTGGTGAGTGAGCGTAATAAAAAATAATTTTTAGGTAACTATGATTTTTGTATGGGAACTGCTCGCATGCCAGTACAGTGAAAATTATATTTTATAACTTTCACTAGAGGGTTATAAGAATATAATCATCTGATATATTACAGTAAAACACTGGAAAGCATGAAATAATTTCCAATTTTACACAATAACTCTTATAACATCTAAACAGATGGTCTTTATCAAGATAATCTATGCTTCACTTTATGCATTTAATGAATCAGAAAGCAAACAACCTTGAACAAGTACTGATTCATAATATTTATATTTATTGCATTTATAGAAATAAAGACATATTCTTTACATTTTAAAAACATGTATCAAATACAATATATTATAAGTTCAATACTGTTATGTAACTTTTTATTCAAGAGCATGAATTTTAAAGTTTGAATAAAAATTGTCATCTTATAATTGTTTTATTTTTCTGGTCTTTCGTGATAACTCATTCAAAACGTGTAGAAGCTTGAATACTGCTTCAGCTTGTGCAAAAGGGTAAAGACAAACAGAATAATTTTTTTTCTGAACTTTTCAGTACTTTTCCAAAAATTATCACACAAAAAAATAACAAATATTTCAATTTTAACACTCTTTGTGATTTTGTCACTATACACATAGAAGAAACAAGAGCCACTGCCAGGCGGGGGCAACACTCTACTTTTTCAATTACTTTTTCTAAAAGCAAACAAAGAAATGCTTGAACAAATCTTAACATTTCCTTTTTATAATTTTAATAGATCTGTCTTGTCACATTAGTTTTGTCAAAGTATGAATCCTTGCCATAAATAAATGACAATGTTAAGAAAATATTATCATATATAAATGCATAAGAAAAAAAAAGTTGAGCTAAAGAAATGATGTGAAACTGCCAATAAACACTGGTTAGGGACTGCATGTATATGCTGCTGTATTTTTTAGTCTTTTTAAGGCAACAAAAATAACACATTTTTATTGATATTTGCTGTTCTTATTATGTTTTCTTTCACATGATGCTAAAATTACATCTCACATTCACTAAAGCCACAGGTTTAATTCATATCAGTTGATAAAATTTTTTTTAAAGACATATCAGTGCCAACTCATAAGCAGCTTAAATAGGTCATCTTAAGTATGTAACTCATTCATAAAGGCGCCAGAATGAAGTCATTTTAAACTGACATGGGTGGGGGTTTGAAGAATAATTAATAAAGCCCATATGACATATAAACACAATACAAACCAGCCTAATGCCCAATTTTAAATTATTGAAAACTGGACAATATAATTCTTGAACAATAAAGTGAAACTTTTTTCGGCAGCTAAAGTAATCTATGCTTGAAAAAATAGCATTAGTTATCTCCCTTATTTTGTCTTGTTAGAGTCTAACAGTTGTTTATCAGCTATTTAACACCGGTTTTGTCATTTTGATGCAAAAAAATTCAACCACTCAGGTCCATGGCTGAGACCAACAAACAATAAAGACCACAGTGGCATTTGTTTGATGTGTCAGATATACAATTGACTCGTATATTAAGCTATCTGTTATCACAGATGTTGTTATAACCGGATCTAAATATTTTTAAGTAAATACAAGAGGGCCATGATGGCCCTGAGGTCGCTCACCTGTACAAAGACACCCGGAGCGGGGCCAGTTTAAACCCCAGGGCTTTTATTTGAACAAACTTGGAAGACACCCATTAGAAGATGTTTCACAATGTTAAGTTTTAACTACACACATGAAAAACAATGATCTACTCCCCCAGCCCGTCAGGGCCAATTTTAATCCAGGGGCTTTTATTTGAACAAACTTGGTAGACACCAATAAGAAGATGTTCCATGCTAAACATCTAAGCTCTAGCTCATCAGGTTTTTTAAAAGAAGTTTTTTTAAGTTTTTACTGTACACATATAGTTAAAAACAATGACACCCCTGGGGCGGGGCCAGTTTTGACCCCAGGGCTTTTTTGAACAAACTTTGTAGACACTTACTAGAAGATGTTTCATGCTTTATATCTAAACTCTAGCTATCTGGTTTTTTTCAAAGAAGATTTTAAAGTTTTTGCTATACACATATAAGGAAAATCAATGACACCCGTGGCGGGGCCAATTTTGACCCCAGAGCTTTTATTTGAACAAACTTTTTAGACACTCACTAGAAGATGTTTCATGCTTAATATCTAAACTCCAGCAATTTGGGTTTTTTCAAAAAAGATTTTTTAAGTTTTTGCTTTACACATATAAAGAAAATCAATGACCCCCGGGGCGGGGCCAAGTTTGACCCCAGGGCTTTTATTTGAACAAACTTGGTAGATACTCATTAGAAGATGTTTCATGCTAAATATCTTAGCTCTAGCTCTTTGGGTTCTTTAAAAGAAGATTTTTTAAGTTTTTACTATATGCATATAGGGAAAATCAAAGACCCGCTGGGACGGGGCCAATTTTGACCCCAGGGCTTTTATTTGAACAAACTTGGTAGACACTCACTAGAAGATGTTTCATGCTTAATATCTAAACTCTAGCTATTTGGGTTTTTTCAAAGAAGATTTTTAGTTTTTGCTATACACATATAAGGAAAATCAATGACACCCGGGGCGGGGCCAATTTTGACCCCATGGCTTTTATTTGTTTAGTTTTTAATATATGCATATAGGGAAAATCAAAGACCCGCTAAGGCGGGGCCAATTTTGACCCCAGGGCTTTTATTTGAACAAACTTGGTAGACACTCATTAGAAGATGTTTCATGCTAAATATCTTGGCTCTAGTTCTTTGGGTTCTTTAAAAGAAGATTTTTAAGTTTTTACTTTATGCATATAGGGAAAATCAATGACCCCCTGGGGCAGGGCCAATTTTGACCCCAGGGCTTTTATTTGAACAAACTTGGTAGACACTCATTAGAAGATGTTTCATGCCAAATATCTAAGCTCTAGCTCTTGAGGTTTTTTAAAAGAAGATTTTTTAAGTTTTTCCTATTGGTTGCCATGGCAACCAGAGTTTTTAATGGAATTTAAATTTTTGAACAAGTTTGAAAGGGGTCCATCTAAGGATCATTTCTGTAAAGTTTGGTTGCAATTGGCCATGTGGTTTAGGAGGAGATGTTGTTTGAAAAGTTTGACGCCATTTTTTGAAGGACGCACGACGCACACCGCACGACGCACACCGCACGACGGACGCAGAGTGATGACAAAAGCTCACCCTTGAGCACTTTGTGCTCAGGTGAGCTAATAAAAAAGAATCAGAACAATACAAATATGTTGGTATGCTGCAAACATCAATATATTCAAGTGTTATTTAGAACAAGTAATACTGTAGTTATGTTACTATGTATATAGCTGTGGTTACAACTAGTGATCTCAGTTGGAATCAAACCAACATCAAAGAAACATCTTAGTCACTAAGAAACCTATCCTTTCTAGACATGTATATAACCCAGATGTAGAGAAATGTAAATAACTCACCTTTGGTATGGGTTTATGAGAGAATAATGAGAAGCCTTCAAACAGATATTCATGTCCATCAAACATGACTACAGTTGGTTGACTTATCTGTAATAGACAGGTATCAAACATTCAGTTTTAACAACTTAAATTTTTTATCATTAAAATACCAAAAAAACTAAACAAGAGCTGTTAGTAGGACAGCACGCTTGACTATTCTGAGTGCTTGATATTTAAATAGCGTTGATGAGGTGTTATTAAAACTTTGCTGGAATAGTCGAGCTTAAAATAGGAAATAAAACTGAAAAGCAAATTAACTTGTCCCTATTTTGTGTTTTCTCGGTATGTAATTTTTGTAAATAATTCTAAATTCCACCAAATAAAATTGTAAAAGTAAAGAATAGAATACAAAGAAAACCATTTTAATTTTTCCAAGGAAATTATACAACCACAATAATAAGAATGCACGATTATCATCTTAAAATAAATAGATAAAGCAGTAATAAACACTTACAATAAAGTTTTTTGCAGGAGACACTGTTATACGATAATGGTACAGTTTATCTAGGTTGTTACTGTTCACATCACATAGCGGTAAAGGCTGAAAAATACAATATTTTATCAGTTACCACAAAATCATTATTATTCGTGAGAAACTAATTTTTGTGTTTTTCGTAGAAAGGTCAATCCACAAATTGAAGATCCGATGAAACTTCATTTTATCTGCTGTAAGAATATTTTGCATCACATTATTTAGATTTTACCTTTTCTAAAAAACAACAACAACAAAACAGTCCACGAATTTAAGTACCCATGAATGATAATATTCTTTGTGTCAAAACCACGAAATTTCATGTACACAAAACTAGGTGGATTCACAATATTAGCTTGTTCATGGGAATTTATAAAAAACAATTTTGTTATGATTTTAAGGCACACAAACACTATAATGTTCCTATGGAAACTTCCAAGCTTAACAGGTGGAAGAAGATTTTGGGGGTACTCTTCTGTGCATTATTTCAGGAATGACCAGGAGTAGACTCCGAGAAGCAATTTCGAGAAGCTAGATAGTTAGCTTGCTCTCATATAAGAACCCCAAATTTGCTGACTGTGCTAGAGGCTTCCAGTTGATGACCTTAACCATTCTGCCACTGAGGCTTCTAACAAAAACTTAAAATAACTTTGTACAATTGCTTAGCAATTAATGTAACACTAGTATGCCCTAAGTCTCTAATAAAACCTAATTCAAAGGATTAACAAAAATATATCAATGACTTGTAATCTTTAGAAAATAAAACATAATTTTAAAAGGGATGGCTTTCTTACTTAAATATTTGATCATATATCATATGTATCATATTTGTAAACATCAAAAGAGGTACAAATGGTTATCTAAATTACTAAACAGTCATTCAAAAGGCATTAAGAAAAACAGTATATTAGGGAAGGACAAGAAAGCATTACCTTTTCACCGGGATAGATGCTGTGACGTATACCAAACTTCCTAGCCTTGTTACTGCAGCGACATAACGGACCATAATTCAACTGTGAAAACAAAAATCATAAATTTAAATTGGGTCATTTTGCATATTATACATAAATGTATTCAAAAACTATTCTATAATGACAGTAAAACATGTATTACAATTATTTTGACAATGTAGTCTTTCTATTATAACACTTGAATAGTTAAATCTTTTTGTCACATATTACATATTAATTGGAGGCCATAAATTATTTCCCTCCGTGTTACTTACAATATAAAATCTGATATTTTTGTGAGGCAAACAATTTTGTTAATAAAGTTTTGATATATCTGAAAGTCTATTTTGCATTGGTTTCTACCTCATTTGGGTCGTTGTACCAAATCTCATTATGTAACCTATATGGGTTCTTTTGTTTAAATTTCATTTCTTCCATCCACCACTCTTCCGAGTCTGACTCTGATTCGGACGATGATGATGACGATGATGATGAACTACAGTCACTTTCCTCTCCTGTTACGAAAAAAAATATGTCCGCTTCAGAAACCAAATAATAATAAATGAATAAAATAAAATTCCTGTATGTTTGAATCCCTCTATAATAGGTAATTCTAAGAAATTGGCAATAGAGTCTATATGAATTATATTAGAATATTTCTGATTTGAATTATATCTTTATATTTCTGATTTCAGTTTTAGTACCTATCTTTATTTCTCATGAAGTATTACTTTAAAAAATTTCAATGCATATTTATGTATTTTCTTACCACAGTGACCACAATGATGAGTATGGCCTTTACACTGATTTTTCCAGTTTGGTTTGGGTAATTCACGCTCGTAAGGTTCCTGTAAAGCTCTCACCATAGCTGCCCTTTGTACAAGTTCATGGTCAAACCGCTGTTCAAGGTCACGCATGCGTTTTGTTGTCACCATATTACCAGTCTACCAGAATAATTAAACAAATTTCTTTGTTTCAGTATGATTTTCAAATTAGCTTAGGTATATAATATACAAACTTGAATACAATGAGATTAGAGGTCATAGTGAATTTCAATAATTAAAAACTTAACAGTGTAAAAGATTTTGTAAAACGCAGTAGCATGGTGGTTTAGGTGCCTTGCCTCCCAGCTTTAGGCATACAGGTTTGAAACTGACTCTGGACATAACCATGTCTCCACATATTACACCAGTGTTATGTATAGGCAGCAAACAAAAATAGTATTTATGTTATTATAATAAAATTGAGAATAAAGACATTGTTTTAACTTAACACTCATAATTTTGTAGATTAATTTTTTTTTCTACAAATACCATGGTATTTTCTATGGTTCAAGGGGCAACCCTCTTTATACCTTTAAAATAAGTGTTAACAAATGTACATAAACAGTATATACATATCAACAAACATTTTTATCACTCAGATTAAATGGCAGTGTTGGAGGCATGCAATACAATTAATTTTAATACATTTGGCAAAATTCTAGTTTAATGTACAGACCCCCTAAAGCCAGCACATGTCTATATAATGCTGTTAACAACAACTAATGCATGTATTGATTGTCACTGTCTGGTTTTTATCTCTATTTAACACTCATTTTGGTCATATCTTGGTGGTCAATCCAGCTTAATGGCTTTTCTGGAATAATCAATTTCTCCCCGAGTGACTGACTTCATATCCAACATTCTGACTCAGCTTTGCCTCTCATGGTGAACCACTGACCTCTGAATAACTACTCCTGCTGTCCCTAGCTAAGCGTGATGACAAGTATTGACTATGACACAAAAAATTACAAAAAAAATATACATATCAAAGTAGACAACTGAATGGCTACATACCTTAGGATCTTTGGTGAAGTAGAGATCAGCAGGTGAACATCTTACCCAGGCTGCTATACGATTACTGTCATTATCATTGTCATCTTTTAATACAGGGCTTCCACTTCTTATACATTTTGTTACACTGAAATAGAAAAATAGACAACTATTTACATAGTTTATAATGAAATATACTAATATTTACATAGAAATAGAGGGATATTAATTTCTATTCCAACGGCTTCTCAATTAAAAGATTTTGATTTTGTACACACAACAAGTAATTTTCAGAAGATAGTTTTTTCATACATTTTTTTCATTTTTTCTGGAGGGAAGAATTCATTCAACTGGTTCTTCAGCATTGAAGGTGCAACATACTAAATTAAATACAGATTATCATATTTCTATACCTGACATCATTTGGTCCTGGTTCCCAAACTTTTTTTCTCTTCTTTTCTGGTTCTTCATTCTCATTGGAGACTCTTTCTCGTTTCACCCTAACTTCCTGTTTAGCTTGTGAACTTGACCTTGACCTGTTGTTGTTTTGCTTACCATATGACCTCTCTTGTGACCGTTTAACTACATTTGGTTTTCTGAAAGGGAAGAAACAGACAAAATTCAAGTTTTATGAAGCAAAAATAAATTATCTTTTTTCTTCAAAATTCAAAAATAAATTGTTACCTTAGTGCAGTAATGTGTTAAGTCCTTCTAAATGTAATAAGAGTTAATCAGTTATTACACTAAGGTGAAATGTCAAAAGTATCATTTCTGCAAGCTTACCTATCTGTCCTAGAATTTGACCTTTGCCCTTGGAATGTTGAACCTCTTTGACCCACATCTGCAGCAACTTTATTAACTTTATCTTCTTTTAACACAGCACCTGTTCTTCCTGAGCTAACAGGCCTTTCATCTCTATAAATTTACACAGAAGAATAATAAGCATTAATAAACAAAAACATTCTTAACATTATAACAAAACAATCTTGCGCAATACTAGTAAAAGTCCAATATTTCTAGTGTATGAATTAACAAAGCCTCTACATGTACTTGTTTTCTATATTTTCTATTTGGCATTGCTAGATAATTTTATTTTAACTGTAAAACCTGTATCTTTAACAATACAGATATATGATCATACCTTGAAGGTTCATCTTTATCCTCCAACAACAATGCCCCGGTGCGTCCTCTTTGTGCATCCACTGGTTCTCCGGATACCCTGCCTCCACCTGCCTCCCCTCTCCTCTTCTGTTCTTCACTTCTACCAGGCATCCTGCCTTTTCCAAAACCCTTAGCCCTTTCAAATCCATCATCCTTTCTAGAATCTTCAGACTCCCTTCTATTATTCCTTTGTCCTTCTCCAATATAGGCAGCTTCTTTTGTAGAAAGATCCTGATTTCTATTAATATTTTCAGTATTTCTCCCATCTCGCTTATCATTTCCTTTACCTCTTTCGTGACTTCTTCTATTTCTATCAAAATGTGTATCTCTTTCCAAATTTCTTTCTCTTTCAGTATGTTCTCTATGTGACTCATGACTTCTAAATTCCTGTCTGTTGTTAACAGGTTTGGATATGTGATTACCATGGTCTCTTCTGTCTTCTTTCAATCTTGCATGGCCTCTATTGTCCTCCCTATCATCTAGAAGGATTGCATGACCTCTATTTTCATTTCTGTCTTCAATGAGTCTTGCACCACGATGTCCACTGTTATTTCTTTTATCATATTTTTTATCCAGTTCCTCACCATCTTCCAGTAAAACTGTCCCTCGTCGACTAGGAGGCTCTCGATCTTCTATCAAAATTGCCCCATCATCACGGTCCTCAATTAGCACAGCGCCTGTCTGACCTCTTCTTCCACGACCCCTCTCAAACCTAGATTCCCTTCTTTCAATACTACTATGTCTTATCTCATCATCAAATCTTGAATATTTATCCGTTCTTGTATTACCTCTAGTATCTGCTGGAACAGCATATTTGTAAGCATCAAACTCATCGGGAAATTCTTCATAATCTAAACTCCGACGAAACTCATCATCCTCTCTTATAAGATCATCTACTGTTGAATAACTGTCATACCCTTTTCTGTCATCTCTAGAACTATGTCTATCGTCTCTCCTCCATTGCCCATCATCTCTATGTCTACTAGATCTTTCCTCCATTTCTCTATGCCTACCATCTCTTCTGTCTTCTACCCTGTCTCCTCTATATCTGTCAGACCTACTACTTCCTCGATCTCTGCTATGTCTTGTTTCTTTATCATATCTGTCTTCATATCTTCTTTCATGTCTACCAGCATCCATATTCTGATTCTCTGAATAAGTTGTTTCATATGGACCATCGTCATATATTTCCCCATCTTCAACATCATGATCAGGACCTTCTAATTTATCTTGACCTCTTCCATAGTCACTATCTCTATCCTCCATTAGTATAGCACCCTCCCTGTCTTCAATAAGGACAGCACCACTTTCACTTCTGCTTTCATATCTAACGCCAACTGGTTCATCTAAATCATCGTCGGTTCTAGGAGAACGTCTATGTCTGTGATCTCTTCTTGATTTTGAACTCTTATCATTGTGACTCTTGTCACTTCTGTGTCTGAAAGTGAATAACCACAGGTATTATACATGTTTGTTGGGCAATGCAGGTGCAGATTAGTAGTAGTAAGATCATGTAACAATAGCAAGTACATCATAGAGATAAATGCAATTGATTAGAATGCACACAAGCCAGGCACACAAATATATAGTATTGAATTTAAAAGTCTAGCTCTCTTGTTGTTTTTTTTGCAACTTGTTACAACTGAGAAAATATGATAATGCATGCTGTGACCTACAACTCATTATAAAAACAATAATATTGTATACTGTGTTTCATTAACCTGTACACTGTTATCACAGTTGGAAACTTCAGACTATCCAAATGGGAGAAAAAAGAAATTGAATTTAACACAGATGATGAAAAATCTAAAAGTGATTCTTATTAATTACATCCTTAAATCACACTAAAACTTTTAACTAGTGACTTTTCACTAATGTAGCATTACTTCAGATGGTTGTTTTAATAGAGAAAACAGTTACACAGTCTGCCGAGGAAGGACAATGTGAAAAGAAGATGCATGATTCGAAGTATCAAGTAAAATGTTAAGGCTTAATTACTGTATACATGTACTTAAGCAGCAGGTCAAAGTAGTAAAACATTATGACTGCTAAATGCCAGGCAGCAACATGAAAGCACTGAAATACATAACCATGATGAAAAAATAAAAAAAACCTTGATCTGGAGGACTTCTTTCGTTCATGACTGTGATGGCGACTGCTTTTTGGTGATTTTCTCTCTTTGTGGTGCTTTCTTTCATGATGTTTGTCCTCTTGATGGCTATGTCGATCATCACGTTTGTGTCGGTGTCTGTGCCTATGATCTTGTTTATCCCCATCCCGTGACATAACTTCATTAGATTCTAATTGGACAATTTGCTGTTGAGCAGGAATTTGATTGGCTGTTGGAAGCTGTCAAAATACAATGAGATTCTATCAAATACATACATAAATTACAAAAGAAATACTTTGGCTACTTAAAGAAACTAGACATAGGACAGCATGCTGAACTATTTTCAGTGTTTGATGGTAGAAAAAGGATTTTGCAAGAAATTTCTATGTTCACAAAGGTTATGATTCAATTAAGATCTATGACTAGTTTTGGTCAGTTACTTATAATTATAACTCTGAAGCCAAAAGAACAATCAGTGGTTGCTTAGATAGAACTTGCAGAACTTACAAAAGCGATATAATTCAGTCAAAGTTCATGCCAGAATTATGGCTCTTGGAGAGTGACCTATAATTGTAATACCAAAGAATAGACATGTGTGAAGCATAAAGTGGATATCTTCAATGGTTATAAGATATGAAGTTGCTCACAAAACATCTACCAAGTGCAAACAGTCAAGTTAAAAGTAGTTGCGGCTTTTCAGAGTATAGAAAAGAAAGAAATATCATGCAAATACAATGAATGGCTTTTTTGTGATGCACTTTGATAAAATCAAATTTAATTTTATTATTTATCATAGAAAAGAATTTATACAGGATAGATAATACATTTGTTCTTGAAAAATAAAATTCATAAGATAAGTTTGTATATTGAGATCTTCTTCTACCCCACATATAGTGATATACCATGATAACATGTTCCATTCAACAAATATTAAGAGGATATTTTTTCGTTTGCGTGAAATATGGAATATATTTTCATGAAACATGATAAAATGCCACATATTTTCACGAGCCGGTACGGCGAGTGAAAATATGTGGCATTTTATCATGTCGAGTGAAAATATATACCATATTTCACAAAAAACGAAAAAATAACCTTTTTATTTAATTTCATTATCAAAGAAAAATGGTTACGAACCCCCTTGCCAGCTACGCAATTGCAATTGTACGGCGCGCAGTAATATAATTATTGTCTTGTTTTGCACGCGATATTTAGCGCTACATTGTGACGTCAATTAAACAACTCTTTAAACGTTTGTACAGCGTTGATAACTGAATTAAAGATATTGGTGTTCGGATTTATTTTCTTAGTTAGACCATTTTCTATCATTCTAGATAGTTTTCAAATCAATATTCAACAAAAAGTTGTTAGTTATTTATCAGATTTTGTAAACAAAATGGCGAAAGAAGTCCCCTAAAATAAATATGAGTTTTGACTTCGCCCACTTTCATATTCATATTTCATATTTATTTTTTACAAAATATGAAATAGCCTATATTTGACTGATATAGCGCCATATTTCATGGGTAAAATTAAATAATAAAGGATAATCTGGACAGACTTACCTGTATCTGAGGTTGTGCTATGCTTCTAGGAAAATGTATTGGTGGGGGAATAGTCATGGATAGTCCCTGTACGGGTAAGACCCCTGCTCCCCAAGGTAGTCCTGCCCTTGCTTGGGTACCAGTTGGGAATGGAGGCATTGTCATTGGATTAAATAGCTGCATGTGTGGACCAGGATATCCAGGTGGAGGAACATTTGGTATAGGACCAACATTTGGTGGTCTGAAATTAAAACAGACAGAATACAATGAAACTGATATAAAAGTGACAGCAAATCAATAAATATCTTAATTAATAATCTTATTTCTACCAAGAATGGGCTTAAATTGAAACAATTATTATTTAATCTTCTTGGGTAAAGAACATTGTCATTATAATTATAATGTTTATATTTCACTAAAGGAAAACACTCCATCTGATCATGCAAAAATAGGATAGGTGTCTGTTATAATTGGAACTAATTGCTACATGAAACAAAAAAAAAGCATTGAAGGCCTGTCATTGTGAACAAACATATGCCCCTGAAGCTTTACCTTGAACAAGAACATGTTTTTCTTCCAAGCTTTGCATAATCTTGAACTTTGAGCCACAAGGCATAGTTTTGCATGAGACACATCACCTCAATGTGCAAAACGTTTCTGTATAATTTATCTATTTTTGTATAATCATTTAAACTCCATCCAGGAATAACAACATCATTGACAATACAAGGCAATCAGTGCACAGTCATGAAAAAAATCCTTTTAAGTCTAAGTGGGACCCAGATTTTTGACCTACAAACTGAAATCTTGCATCAGCGTGCTGTATGCAAAATCATTTCAAAATCCATCCATTAATAACAAAGTTATGACCTACATAAAAATGCAAGCAATTTCAATCAGATCTAAAACACTTACAAAGGACTACTAGCTCCAGCAATATTGGGACTTGAATGTCTAGGTCCAAACATCTGTCCTGGAACCGCCTGCCTTAAAGCTGCAAAATCTGGACTGCCAAAGTTTGACATTCTTGACCTAAAACATGAAAGATTTAAAAAAAAAACTAAATTTTTGAGACATACTATTTGTACATTTGTATTCAATTTCAAATGCCAAAAACTGTTTCAAATCAGCCTTGGCAACCCAAAAGTCACATGATTTTTTACTAGATACTGTCCTTCGACCAGTACAGTTAATCTTGGATAGTGACCTCCAATTAACTTGAGATTTTGCATTAAGTTTCAAGTGAAATACCTTCAGTAATTTTAAAGACGAAATTTTAACCAAAGTGTTAAACTGATGCCAGGTTGAGTAGGATAGGCTGGTTCGGATAGTTCTACTATTCTCTGAATAGTCCAGCTTAAAATTCATATTAAGCCTAAAAAGTTGAGATGATTTGGAGATATCTTTGCACTTTTTTATAAAAATTTGGAATTTCCAACTTTTTTGTGTATACACCCATGAAAAGTGGGTTTTTGAACCATTTATTTCATGCTTTCCAGTGTTTTATTGTAATATATCAGATGATTATATTCTGATAAACCACTAGTGAAATTTATAAAATATAATTTTCACTGTAGGCGGACTATATCTGAATGCGGATGAAAAGAAAATCAAACTAAATGGAATAACAGGCAGAAAAAATGCCGTCATACGTAAATTTTGCTTCTTTAGGAAAAGAAAGTTGATGTCACCATACATCATGTTAAAAATGTAACAAAATTAGAGAAATTTAACAGAATTATATTTCAAAAATTGATGATGTGACGTCATGATGTGATGACGTCACAAAGGAGAATGTGCGACGTTACGCGGCAAAATCAGTAAAAAAATACTTAAAATAACTTAAAAAACATGAAATAAAAAGAAAATTTATTTGTTTTACATATAAGATTGAAATATATTTCATTCGTGAACACCAACTATTATATTTTCACTCTTGGCTACGCCACTCGTGAAAATATTGCATCTGGTGTTCACTCAGTGAAATTATATTTCAATCTTACATGTAAAACAAACAAATATCCTCTATGTAAATAACATATAACAAGGAATATCAAATTAACATGAAAACCAATAGTGATCTGTCATAAATATCTAGTAAAACTGATCTCACAATCTAAAACAATAGAAATAAATTGTTTTTAAACTGCTACTACAAACAGCTAGTTTTGTGATTTATTTCTGACTTTCAAAATTCAATATTCTTACACAAATGAAAGTCTGATATCTTTTTTCTTTGTATTAATATAATCTTCAATTAATATCTTTTTATTTTTATTCTTTTGACACCACAGGTTTTTCTACATTAACTGTTAAAGATACCACCAGTCAACCATTTTACATATAATTGTCGGTTATCTTTAATAAAAATAAAACTGATAAGAATAGCCAATCGTCTGCTAGTTCAGACACAGTTTTCTGGTTTCAGACATTGTTTATTGGTGTATTTCACCATTTGAGAGTTCTACCTTGAAAATAGTCCTTCATTCAAACAACGCATTTCATTTCTTTCTTACAGTTTTATGTTTATCCGACAATGCGAATTAAAGCGAATTTTACCAATGTAAAAAATAGCTTCCAATCAGCGGTTTACGTCTAAATATGCTTTTCTCTCGTCGATTCGTGACTCTTATTTGGAAATATTGCACTTGCACAACAAATATCAGACATACATACAGTTCAATTAGTGCATTTGTTAAATAAATTCATTATCTAAAAGTTCACAAACTTTAAATTACTTCTAAAAACAACCGCTTAAAGATTAGAGCAACTGAACATGTCAACCATGACTGTCTTGCTCAGCTGGACGCTTACTCATCGATTCGTGAAATCCGATTCACCCTGTGACGTCATCAAAATATAGGTGCTCACACCACTAAATGTTTGCATGGTTATTTTCAGCCCGATCTGATCAATATATGTTTCAAAGTCTTAAGTAAATTCTTACAGCATAATGAATATTTTTTTGGCTTAAATGTAAGTGTGTTTGATAAATTAAAACATTAATATCGAATATTTTAGGGTAATTAGGTCGCCAGCTGATTGTAGGGTAAGGTCATTTACACCTGTTCAATTACGCATTTTGATTGGATAGAATTGTCAAATCGAGTGTCTAATAAAACTTGTGTAGTTTTCGGATGGTGTATGTCCTTGCAGAAGTATTTATACCAGACAGTTATTTAGGTCACGAATCGATGAGAAGGCACGAATCGATGAGAATAAGGCATATTTAGAGTCAAAATTAGACTTTAGATTCTACCTCAAAAAAGATAGATTCTGATGCGTTTTAATAGCTGAATTATGAAAAAGTGCATTGACTTTTGAATAAGTTAGAAATGCTGATTATTATTTAGTTCAAAGCAAGTGTGTGCTCTGACTGCTGTATTTTTTTAAATTCACATTCGGACTACTGTCCTATCCGAAATACGGCTACATTTGAAAGCCAACAACTTTGTTAATCATCACATTTATTTTACATTCAGACAAGTAAGAAGCCCTAAAGGAAATTTATTAACAAAATTAATGCCTCCTACCTTTTAATAAATCATAAATCTGCAAAAACACCGTTATATTTTTTCCATATATTTTTGCTGTTTCTGCATACTTTAAAACCCATACCTATGTTACGTACCATAACCGGTTTTCCGAGCGTTATTTTTGGAGTTATCATTCGCCGGTCCGGTCTCTTCTGTAAACTAAAGGGTGAAATTATCCAAATAAATTCATCATTTACATTGTTGTTCCTGTATGACTTTGATACTGTATTCAGTTTTTTACTGGTACATTGATTATTAGAAATTATAAACTGAAAAGATTGTTTCTTCATTCGAAGCATTTGCATTACAGTACATTTTACATTTATACCCTACTGTACACAAGATTTTTAAAATATTTTTTAGGATGCGTTTCAATTGTTCAGTAAGTAAATAATAATAGTTTGAGTGAATATATCTACATACAGTCTTCCGTTTATGTTTCAAATTTTTCGTGTCTGTTAAGTAGATACAAATGTATAAAAGCTGTAAAGAATGTATATTTACTCAAGATTACTTACTCTTTACATACTGAAAAATATAAGTATAATAAGCCAAGACCCTGAATAAGCGTATTAATTGAATATTCATTAAAATTACACATTTATTTTTTAATAAGTTGCCTTTGAAAATACAACTTTCCTTTTTTTTAATTAAATTATAAGAAGGCAATACTAATTAAAACCCCTAGAGCTATATTTCAGAATTAAAAGTGTTCCCTGAGTAAATGTATTGTATGGCTTGAATAAGAGTCTTTCAAATGATAACGCCTTATCCAGATTTTTTTCAACGCAGTGAAAACAATTTTTTAATTACGAGAACGAATTTTTCCTGTTTTAAAGTGTATACATGTATACGATGCTTGCTAATTGCTCATTTTGAATATCTGGAAAAAAGGGATCCCTCTGAAGCATTAAAAACAGCAAAACACATGAAAAGTGCATACTCGGTTTAACTAAGTCTGCACATGAGGGATAATGAAAAAGTGTAACATCCCTCACGCTCCCTGTTACTGTCTTGAGCAGTACTCAATATTCAACACTTAAAAATCTGGAAACAAAGTGATCCCTCGGAAGCATTAATCACAACAAAATTGCAGACTCGGTTTGAATGAGTATGTACATGAGGGATAATGAATATGTGCAATATCCCTCACCCCCCCCCCTAGCACCGACTTGAGCGGTACTGAAATCCTGAAGTCCAGGAATCAATGATACCGAAGGACCAGAAAAATGTAATAGCACTATTGTGAATTATTGGGCAACTTTTTACGGCTGCCACACATCACTTGAGTCATGCTGTTGTGATGTATAAATATCTGGAAAAAAGACTCGAAAGCATTAAGGATTCTCAATTAAACTGATACATTTGTGTATATTGATAACTACCTTTTTTACATATAACCACAACTTTAATTGTTATTATAGAACAGAATAAAAAATGTACTATGATATAATTACTGAACAAAAGAATTACATGAAAATTGCAGATTCGGTTTAATTGAGTCTGTAAATGAGAGATAATGCAAAGTGCAACATCCCTCACGCCCCTAGCACTGGCATGAGTCGTAATCAATTTTTAACACATAAAAAAGCTAGAATCAATGATAACGAAGGACCAGAAAAATATAACAACACTGAAGTGAAGAACTGGGCAACTTTTTACGGCTGCAACACAGCATTTGACACCTGCTGTTGTGATGTATAAGTATCTGAAAAAAAGTGATCAATCAGAAGCATTAAAACAACAAAATTACATGAAAATTGCTGACTCAGTTTTATTGAGTCTGTAAAAGAGGGATAATGAAAAAGTGCAACATCCCTCACGCCCCATAGCACCGGCTAAAGCGATTGAATATGAAGTTGAAGTTTGCAATAAGAAAATATTACTTTGTTTGAAAAAAAAGCAACAACAAATTAAAACACCGAAATCATGTCAATGACATATTTTTGTAACAAAAACATGCAAAATATAAAGTATAATTGCAATTTCCAATTATATACACGGCCTCAAGAAATGATTTATAAATTAAACTTGATGATTATGGTGATTATGATGATGACAATGATGATGATGGTGGTGGTCTTAGAACCCCCGTATGAGAAGAACAATCAATATACATGTAAATGATTTTATAAAGAAATAGGTATGATGATTAGTGATCATTTGAAAGAAATTGATCCCTGGGAAGCATTAATCATCAAAATACGTACATGAAAATTGCAGACTCGGTTTGATTGAGTCTGTACATGAGGGATAATGAATATAAGTTACTTTCAATATTTGAAAATAGGAAGTCATTTAATTAAATCATTTCATAATCAATCAGTTATTAGCTTGGTCAATACTGTCCGGAAGTATCATATTTGCTTGTTCATTATCATATAAAATCTAAAGAAAATTAAATGTTTACTATACTTTTTTTTTTCGATGGTCTTCAATTTTTACCATTTCATGTTTAAATGAACAGGCTCAATCAAACCAAGCCTGCAACATTTTCAATTTCGTCGTAGGGATTCTTTTTTTTCCATTTCAACGTTACTCATCTTACATTTTGTGCAAACTCTGAGACTTTTGTCAAAAATGTACAGTGTTTCATTTTTCCAAATAGAGTTTCATAATTCTTAAATATGGCCATGCTAAATAATGTTTTATGGTTCGTTTATTAATTTTATGTGTAGATGGATGAGAATCAAATCATTAAAAGTGCTAAATATAGACCACTTTTAAAAACCATCCCTCAGTAAATAATATGTTTTTATTTATACTGGTCAGAGAGATACATGTTACTCCGACACATAGATAACCCCCGATACTTGATAAATATAATTGTTATAACTTTGTTTTTCAACAAGAGCATGATCTCCTACATTGTAAGATTAGGAGCAGAACAGAATGTGATGATTTTTTTGTAATTTTGTAGAAACTGCTTCAAAACGTTCGTTTTACAAAATTACAATAAGATAGTTAGAATTTTATTGCCCACGGGCAACTGACTTGGGAAAGATTTTTGAAAAAAATTGCTTAAAATATCATCATCAAAAAAATAAAAAAAAATAAAAATAAAAAAAATAAACAACAGTAGATAAAACATTTAAGATGTAAAAATAAATAATTGATGCTGATTTTCATGTCATTTTTTACTTCAAGTTAAGTGTCGACTTTATCTACTGTTGTAAGGTAAAGTCTTACAATACTTAAAATGTGCAGGAAAACATACATTACAACCAAAAAACAAAAAAAATGAAGGTAATGTCCATAACTGTCATGGTTCAGAACTCTACATAATTTGTACAAAACAAATCTTAATTAAAATATTATATATAAACACTAATTAATCTCGAAATATCAACGCATACAGTATTTACAAATAATTATTTATGTAATCAAGCCTACTATTCACCAGAGTATTTTATTTGTCGTTTCAAGAGTTAGGAAGGTACCGGACTGGCAAATCGTATATTCCCAACATGTAAGGGAGGTAACAAAACAACACAACGTTGGATTTTCCCGGAAAAACGGTAAACCTCAAATGAATTAAAACTAAAAATCTTTAGACTCTGGATCGCAGAAAATTTGGATTTTCAGGTGTTTTTGCTTTTTTTAACTTGCCTAGTTATATTGCAATGGTTGAAACTACTCATTTTCTTATACAACCATGCTAACCAAATACGTTCTCAATTTAAAACGTACCCATTTAAAACGTACCGTTGTATAGGCCTATTTATGTCATCTGTAACATTCAGTTTTTTTTTTCAAATTATGGCATACTCCTTGAACAAAATTCACAGTATTTATCTCCGTCAATATTTTATAAAGTAAATTAAAATGAGCCTACAAAATACATGGGAAAGTCAAGTCACACCAACATATATTTATCATTCTCATTGATCAACCATTGTTGTTTGCCTAATGGAGTTATCCTTTGCGCATGTGCAACAGTAGCATGTGAAATTCCCCATGCGAAAAATGTAAACACACCTGCTTGTAAAATATAAAGGTGAGAACGATATATATCCTATGTGTAATTTAGATTGAAGAAATTTTGTTGAACCTTTTCCTTGAATGATATCGTTCTGAAAAAAAACTCACCTTAAATTTTGAAGAACTGCAGTAAACGAAAATAACCGTATTGTCGGATACTACTAGCCGACAGATACTGCTTCGATACCAGTATACATTTTCTCCCCTTGCTGATAAATAGTTTGTATTTTCCAATTGAATTGAATTTTTTTTTAGATTTTTTTTTTAATTTCACACAGTGAGATTTTAAAATGAACATGGAGTTCTTGAACACCATATTGCAGTTACAAACTGAAATACCCAACCACTTACACACAAGCCCCCTAATTGGTGTTCACTCAGGTTAATACTGCAGTGATTTTCCTGCTTATATATCAGACTCCGATAAAAGGCCCTCTTCCCAATTGAAATTTTCTTTAAAATCATGCAGTTTTCCCAAAAATCTAAACTTAAACAGGCTTTTTAACTTCCCAAATTAGAAATTTTAGAGATAATTTTCCCCAAAATCTATTGGCTAAGGCCTCTTTCCAATTAAATGAGAAAAATCACTGGCTAGTGTGTGTCTGTGTGTAATTTTTATTGATGCATATCACATTAACTATGCAATATGGTATTAAAGCATCAATAATTAAAAGAAAAGAAGAAGTGAAAAATTGTACAGCAATAAATTGATTTCTAAAGTAGGCCACTGCCTTGCTTTGAACAGACCATGTGTTGTGTAATTTTTATATGTTTCATGACTTCAGACATATTATTTATCACAGAAATTATCACAGAATCCACAAATTTAGATCCTAGCATCAAGGCAGTAAGTTAATCTTCCTTATATATTTTGATAATAAGACAATGTTTAAAGTGTACTCTTCTTTAGTTATTAAATTTATGACCAGCTTTTTGTAAATTCAGACCTGAAAAATTATCACTCTGCTTTATTGTCTTCTCTCTTTTATTCCTTCTTGATACTGAAGTAGAATAAAATGTTTTGCAACTGATATGTTTTTTATTATTTCAGAAATGATTATTAGTTAAGAAGCTGTGCAGACAGACAGACAGACAGACGTCATTGATAATGGAGT